CACAGCTCATGGAGCTGGAGAGACCGACATGAGGGACCCACCGAGGGAGTGGGACCCCTGGGGGCCATGACAGCAGGTGGCAGTGCCTCCCCATCGACCCAAAGCTCTCTGTGTGCTTTGGGGGGCTTTTGGGAAGCACAGGGCCCTGCTGGCCTTGGAAACAGACCCTGAGTCCAGTCCAGCTTCTAGATCAAGCACCAGTTTGTGGCCACCAGGGGCACAAGGGTGTTTACTGCACCCCAAACCCTCCTTGCATCCAAGTTTTCAGGTCAAAGGACCTTCTTTTCTGACCAGGAATGACTTCAGAACAGAAGAGGGGCCTGTGGACCTCAGGAAGGCAACAGAGAGCCAGGCTGCCGGGGACTCCTGGGTGCCCACCCAAATGCCCAGCCTGAAGGCAGCTGAGGGCAGTCCAGGGACTTTGATATGCAGGTGTTCATTTTGTGATGCGATAATGACACGGTGGTTAGGGAAAGTTAGCGTTTTTATCCACTAAACAAGTAAAAAAGAGAGAGGTGTTCTTTGAAAGCTGGGTTTGGGGAGCATGGAGAAGAGAGAGGTGGGCCTGGAGACAGGACTGGGGGGGCGGGCACGGCAGGACGTGTGCAGGCCAAGCTCTGGGGGGGCATCACCTGGGCAGTCTGAACTCTGGGGAGGCATCACTTTGGCACCGAGCAGGTGGCAGGCTCTGCCGGGGACACTGTGAACAGCCCAAAGGGAGGCGTCCAGGGGGCAGTTAGGTGAGGCTGGAGGCCAGGGCTGCAGCCAGAGGGGTGCAGCCACCTTTGTTGCGGCTGAGGGGGCAAGACCACCAAGCCCAGAGGAAAAGGCAGAGCCGACCTGCTCCAGAACATTCCGTGGTCCTCCCGTCAACACAGCAAAGTACAGACTGTTTACCAACTTTTTATAATCAGTTCTGTAAGTTTGCAGTTAAATACATTCACAGCGCTGTGCAAACATCAGCATCATCCATCGCCAGAACACTTCACCTTTCCACCCTGAAAATCTGTCCCCGCTAAACACGAACCCCTCATGCCCCCCAGCCTCTGGCCACTTCTATTTTACTTCTGGTCTCTAAATGTGGCCATTCTGGATTTAAGAGTCACCAGGCATTTGTCTTTTCGTGAGTGGCTTATTTCACTTAGTTTCACCCATATTGTAACAAGTGTCAGAATGTCTTTCCTTCCTTTTCAAGGCTGAATAATATTCCACTGTATGCACAGAACACATTTGTTTATCTATTCATCCATCAATGGACACCCGCTTCCACTTTTTGGCTGCTGTGAATGGGGACATCTGAGTCTCTCCTTGAGACACTGCTTCCTTCACACTACACTGGGTGAGGGTGAATTGCCCTACACCCAGAGGTGGCAATTCTCTGTAATTCTAAGTGTGAGGACTGGCCAGGCTGTTTTCCATAGGAGCGCACCATCTGACTTTCCCAGGAGGTGTGTTTCTCACCTCCTGCTGACATGTCAGGAGCCTCACAACTCTGCCTCAGCCCCCTGGGGGGATCTGTGGGTGTATGACTGGAAGTCTGGAGAGCAAGGAGGAGTGAATTGTGGAGGTGGAAGGAAGCAATGGGCAGTGTGGATGGGGAGACTGGCAGGTGGGTAGGATGGTGGGGATCCTGGTTGGGCGGGTGGATGGCTGGTGAATGGGGGTCGATGAGTGGACAAGGAGAGACAACAACACTCAGGCTGAAGTGGCCCCGGAAGCTTTGGTCACCCCACCCCATGCTCAGCTCTGGAGGTCCCCACTCCAGGCCTCTTGTGGAAAACACTTCCAAGCTAGAGGTCAGAACATACAGTCGTCCAGTCTGTACTTAGGGTTGATTGCCCCTCAGAGCCAGATTTCCTCAACTGAGGTCACACAGGCAGCAAAAGTAGGTGTTAGAGAGGACTCAGGCAATTTAGGTACATTTTGAATGGGCTGTCAGCAGTTAATTATGGATCTCCAAGAGGAGACGGATAATCACAGAGATGCCCCGGGCACTTCTGACAACACATCCATCCATCCTCCAGGAGGCCTCCGCGCAGACACAGTGGGGCTTAGACGCTGCAGACACTCCATGCTCCACGAGGGCACAGTTCTATGCAATTTTCAAAACCCTGAGGTGTAAATGCAAGGTGTAAATGGATGGAGCCCTCCCGCTGGGCATGTGACCTGAATCCAGCCCAACACAGCACCTCATTCTTCAGACCAGAATGATTGGTTCAAATAGAGACATGCACCCCGAAGTTGGCCAGGGGGATCCCTACCCAGCCATTTGCTGGGCAAAGATACTCCCTTTCCACCACCACTGCCAAGCTGGTAACCCTGGAGCTCTGGTGGCCATTGGTGCCTCCAGCTTGGAAAGGGCCTGCCTGAGAATGAAGCTCACAGAGGGGACAGAGAAGGAGACTGAGTCCTCACGACCTCGAGGAACCCCTGGATCCAGCCCTGCCTGAAGTCAGACACACGCTTGGATTTTTCTATTACAGGAGCCAACCAGTTCCCTTTTGTTGCTCAAGTCAGTTTAGGTGAAGTTTCTGTCCTTTATAACAGAGAGTCACCCAGCAAGGAAAATATGCTTGGTTATTTCTTGAGGTGGTTTTCAGCTGGAAAACCAATTTGATGATGGCTGGAAAGCCGATTTCTCAAATGGACCCCAAGTGAGTTGGTAGAGAGCGTGAGTTTGGAACTTGGCTCCGCGTGGGCAGATCTGTGGCTAGAGGTGAGGGATCCATGTCAGCTTTGTCCCCGGGTCCTGACAAAGGTGCTCTTTCCACCACAGTTGCCAAGCTGGTGCTGACCTTGCTACGTCGTGTCAATCACACAGCCAGGGGTGGGCTAAAGAAACAGCTCCCAGATGCCCGTGTCCGGCACGTCGGTCTGTGCCAGTGCTGCTGTGGGTGGGCTGACGGCTCTGCCCCCAGAGCCCTCGCTCCCACAGCACTAGATGCCTGGCCCCGACGTGGCCCAGAACACGTCTACTGACAACCCCAAAGTCAGAACCAGCCCATGACCCCGTGCAGCCGGTTTTCAGAAAGGCCACTCGGGCCCAGAAAGCAACTCGTTCTGACGGACTGCCGGGGCTCCAGGAAGCCCCAGGGACATCTGCGAGGACCTCTCAGGGAGCCCTTGGTCCTCTGGCACCACAGGCCCCAAATGCAAACTGGAATCTGCCTTCCTTGCCTCCCCATCAGAACCACCTCCCGCTCATCTTCAGGCCTGAGACGCCTCATGGTGAGGCCCATCCCTGGGTGGGCCCTGGTGGCCTCCCTCCACCCTGCTTGTCAAGCCCTCCTCTGCCGGGTCACTGTGGCTGCTGCCTCTGGCCCTCCGGTCTCCACGCCACTGCCCCTCCTCAGAGCCACCTTCCACCCGCTGCCCTGCCTGCCATGGTGTCGTCTTCACAGCACCTGGGCACGCTCTAGCTTGGCCTGTTGTATCCCTGCTCAAGGAGTCCTGCCCTGTCCTCCACCCTGCCTAGGGGCCCAGCCCAGTTCTCAGCACTCAGAAGGGGCTGCCGAAGTGCTGTTTGACAGGCCAGCCTCACCCCTCTGCTACCCACAGGCCCCGCCATGGGCAAGCCCTGCCCTGCGCCACCGGTGGCCCTGGTATTAATAGCTGATGGTTTTAATACCCTCGACGCGGCGATGAGCGCGGCAATCAAAGGCGCCAGCACAGTGCTCGCTGTATAATTACGCTTGATCACCGCTCAGCGAGCGCTGATTGCGGCTCAGAGATGCGCCCCGTTTTCAGGCTGGTGGGGCTGGGCCCTTGGCGGCCTAACGAGGGTAATTGAGGCAGGGCTGATTGTGCCGGAAAGCTCGAGGGGACCGAGCCGTGAGAACAGGCCACGTCACACCCCAAACGGGACCGCATTTGCTAAATTTGTTTCCGATGCAATTTCATGGTGATTACGCTGATTTCTTCCTAGTAATTGAGCCTGGCACTGAGCTGGATGCCTGCAGCCCCGGCGGTAAAGACAGGCACATTTTGGAGCCAGGGGCATCGATTATGATTTATAGGCCACTATCACAGCCCTCGGGACGGAGAGGGCACTGGATGGCAGGCTTGGGCGTGGCCGGAGTTCTCTGGGAACTCCCTCTGGATATGCGCCCAGCCCCGCTGGCCCTGGCCACCATGCGGCCCTGGGAGACACCTGAGTGCCCTTAGCTTCCTGGGGACAATGCCCCCCCCCCACAGGTCCATGCACATGGTCCCCCAGCAGCTGACTGTGGGTGGGCCCGCACTCCCCAGGATGGCCTGGTAGGCCACTACCTCGCCGACACAGTGTGTCCTTTGGACATACGCACACCTGTCTCGTCCAGACGCATGCCGGCCTTCATCCAGAATGATCGCATCTCACCCCCGGCCCACCCCCGGGACAGGTGGGAACTGCCCAAAGACAAGCGGGAACCGCCCAAAGACAGGGTCCTGCCCAGTACATACTGGGCAGAGGCTGCACCAACACTGCCCATCAGGAAAGTTGCCGAGCTCGTCTTGGGCTGGAACAGCAGGTCTGTGCCAGAAAGGCCATTTCCCAGACTGGGTTCCTCAGCCGCAAGCTTCCGACAAGAGTGCTCCTGACTGAGGGAAGTCGGGAAATGCAGCTCCAGGCCCTGTCTGTTCAAAGTGGGAAGCCCAGGACAGTGGCTTCAGAATCAGAATCTGCATGTTAACAAGACCCCTGGGGAAACAAATCTCTGAGGCCTGAGTTCACAATCCTGCAGGCTTGAGAATCACCTTGGTTCCACCAGGCCTCAGGTTGGGGCTTGGGCCTTGGAGTTTTTCGGTCTCAGTGAGGTTCCCAGACAGCGGAGCTCCCACACCGCAGGCTGTCAGCCCGGCGCTCCCACCCCAGGCCCCCAACCAGCAGGGGCTGCAGCTGGGATGGCCGAAGCTCGCTGTGGGCACGAGCACCCACGGCCTGGCCAGCCCTGCGCAGAGGCCCAGGGCCGCCGGACACGCTCCCAAGGGACACGCCTGCCTCCTTCAAGCCACGCGGCCTGGCCCCACCCCTCCCAGCAAGGACAACCTGGAGCCGTGAGTTTTAGCAAAAATGTTTAATCTCTCCTTAATGTGTGTGTGTATTTACAAGTACTAAATCTGAAGACCAGTAAAATAGGAAATAGCCGTATATTTACACAATCTGTGGGGGGCTGAGCGCCATCGGTCACACTGCTTCTGTGAGAAGCAATTGCTGAGGGGGCTCTTCTCTTTTTTGGGGGGTTTGCTCTGTGGCATTAAAGGACAGCTAATTGTGGGCTTTGTCTGAAAAATATCTTTCTCTCTCTAAATATATCTATTCTAGCTCATGTAGCACCAACGACGTGAGCCATCGAATCCCGAGCTGGGAGAAAAGCCGGGTGCAGGCTCTCAGCAAGGTCAGGGGGCAGGAAAGACACGTGGGGGCCTCTGCCTCAGGTGCCCCTGGGCCCTCAGCCTCCAGGCCAGGGAGCACAGGGCAAGCTCGAGGTATATGGAGAGGCCAGGCTCCCGGGCAGGCCGGGCGGGTGGAAGGGGCTGTGAGAAGCGGGTGGCAATAGCAGCAGTGTCTGGGGCAGGTGGGTACTGCCCGCACAGCACCCCAAGCCTGGGGACTGAAGAGGGGCCCTTGGGAGTACTGCACCCTAGCCTCACTGCAGAGTGAGACCCCTGCCGGGTCCCGCACCCCCTCGGCCAGTGCTCAGGGTCAGGAGGTGACACGGGAGTGTCTGGGTCGAGCCTAGGAGGTGACCGAGCTGGGGCGCCTTTGGGAAGCCATGACAGAGAAGCCACAGCCTAACCCTGCACCTGGGAGCAAGGTGAGGCGCGGACCTGCTGCAAGAGCCGGCCAACTTGGCGTCATCAGTGAGGTCGGCCCCTCTGTAAACAGGTCCTGCTAAAGTGCTTGGCCCCTGCGGGGATGGCTCCGGGCAGGGCCAGGTGGGCACCCCGAAGACTACCACCTGATGCCACCAGGGTGTGGGGCGGGCCCGGCTCTCGGGGTGAGCCCACGGGGCCCAGCAGGGATGGGGACAGGGACAGGGGAGGGGAGGGGGCCTATGGAAGGGGTCTGGAGGGTTCTAAAGAGAGTTGGCAAAGGGGCTGACAACCCCCAACCTGACCAGAGCAAAACTGTAAGAATGGAGCCAGCATCAGGGAAGACTTCAGGGGGAGCAGGGTCTCCCCCAAGTGCATGAGTGGGGAGGAGGGGGTACACCCAGGGACAGGACTCCTGGCCCAAGCAAGGGGCCACCACTCTCTACACTCAGCAGCCTCAGCTCCGGCCCCCAAGTTGGCCCAGGGAGCAAGCCCACACGGGGGTGGCGTCGGCCAAGCTGTGGACGTCCGCGGTGACACTGGGGGCCTGAGGAACCCCCTTTCCCCGGAACGCCTCTGGAGCTCCTGAGGCAGAAACTCCTAGATTTCACCACCCCCCCTGCTCCCGATGCCCGAGGCGTGCAGCCCACTCGAGTCTGTCTCGGGAGGCGCAAGGCCGCGGCCCGAGGTGGTCGGCCACAGTTAGCTGTCCCTTAACAGTCCGCGGGAATCTTCAGTACCATCGAGGAAGTGAACTTGAAAAGGGGACGAGCCGATTGTTTGCTTTCACCAGTGACTGATTAATTAAAAAACATAAAAAAGGGGCTAACAACCTCTAGTATTCAACACTTGCAGTTTTAAAAAGATCAAGTCAGACTAAACGCTAGCACAGTCATGCAGGAATCCACGGGCCCCGCGCCCCAGCAGCTCTCGGGGGGCCAGGGAGAAGTTCTCTCCTTTTTATGTCAAATGAAATCAAAGACTTTCGGTGGGTTGAGGGGCGAAGGCCTCAGGGGTGCCCCACTCGGGAAACTGGCCACTATCTCCACGACCATTTGGTATTACTTTCCCACTGTCTGGATTTTCTTATTCTAAATTGTTTTTAAAATTTCTCCTCCAGTTAACTATACAGGACCCCACTGGGGCTGGAGACTGGGGCTAAAGCCATATATATATATGTATATATATATATATAGACACACACATATATATATATATATACACACACATATATATATATGTACAGGTTTTTTTTTTTAATTAAAAATGTGTTCTCTCGCACTCACTGAGGGTAGGGTGGACACAGCTGACCACCAGGCCCTCTGGTCAGACACCTGCTCCCAGCCAGGCCCGCAGTGGGTGTGGCCCCGGGCCTGCCGCAGCCCTGGCTGCCCAAGCACAAGTGCAGCAGGGATGGCCCCCTCAAAAGCAGTCCCCAGATGTCCCGTTGTCCCTGGGGCTGGCACACTGCTGAGATGCCACACCGGAGCCACCGGAAGGCGATGTGAGAGCAGGACACAGAGTAGAGAGGCAGGAGGGGAGAGGATGGAGGTGGTCAGGCGGCTCCCGGAGCCCCGCAGACCTGGGAGTGGGGGGTGGGGAATAAATAACAGGAACGTGCGCTCATGACTCGGAGCCCCGGGCCCTGCGGCTCCCAGAGGCACAGCCCTGAGGACAGAAGGGGAGTCGCCGAGTCCTTCTGGAAGTCACTTGGAGCTGCGAGCGGAGCCGTCCTGCAGCCCCTCCATAGGAGGGAGCTGGGGGCTTCTCTCTGGCCTCGGCCGCGAGAGCACGCGGTGAATCGGAGGATGGTGGTGGCGGCAGCGGCGAGCGTGGGGTGCCCAACGTGGCAGGCAATGGGTGATGGTCCAGAGCGACTTCAGCGCGCCTTGGCAGAGCTCTGGGCATTCAGCCTCCCCACCGGCTGCGAGCCAGACCCCGGCCCTCAGATTCTGCCCGGGAGGCTGCGGCCTGCTGACTCCCTCTGGCCCCGCAGCCCAGCCTCAAGGAGACAGGCCAGACTGGTGTCCCCTCCCAGAGGACTCCGGTCTAACCCTCAAGTTCCTCAGCAGTCACCCCATTCTCCTTCAAAGGTCCCGAGCTGTACCTGGGCTCCCCTAGTCCTGTGGTGAGCAGCTCCGGGCAGGGAGGGTGCCACAGGCACCCTCACCGCACCAACGAGAACCAGGACCCCGCCAGGCGGGAAGGGAGGGGCACAGGTGGGCAGCTGCCTCCAAGAACCTCCAGCAACGGCTGTGGTCAGAGGCCGCCTCCTCAGGTCCTCTTGATAGTCTCCCGCTGGACAGTCGCTGCCCTGTGGCTCAGCTGCTCAGGGCCATCGTGTCCACCACCTGCTCCAGCTTGCTCCGCAGCCGCTGCCGCCGGGCCTGCTCATCTTTCTCCAGGGCTGTGAGGATCTGCAGGGCAGGGCAGGGCGTCAGGACTGGCAGAGGCTGCCCACTGCAGCGGGCTGGAGGCTGGCACACAGGGCAGTGACACGGATGTGGCCGGTGGGGACTGCAGAGCTGATGCCAGGTTCCAGCCCCCTTCCATTCTTAGTTGAGGGGCCTGGACCACCCCAGGATGCCAGTGAGGAGGATGAGTCCTCAGGTCACTGTTCCTGCACTTGTGGCCCAAATGCCAGCCCTGGCCAGCTCTTTCCCAGTCCCTGCCACCCAGAGCGGGGCCTTGCCTACCCCTCAAGGACCGCACTGCAGCCCACTGCTGGGCCCTTCAAGGAAGCAAGAGCACCCCAAACTCACCCCCCTCAATACCGCCAGCACCCTCAAATCTCATTGTGCACACGGCTTGTTCATTCCCACATCCTGCTGGCCCACAAGCCCACGGGCGGCCCTCACTGCTATATCCCTCCACCCTGCACACTGGTTTCTCTGCACCCTCTGCAGTGGAGCACCCTGGCATCTCTAGCTCCCCCCCCCCTCCCCTAATCAGCCCAAGGCCAGCAGGTTTGGTCTCTCCTGCTTCAGACCCCCCAGGTCAACTGCTTGTCCTCAGCGCTAAGCATCTGCCCATGGAGCCATGCCTCTAGGTCCAAGCTCAGGGTCTCCTTCTCTGCTCTGGACTCCCCTCTAGAGCCAGCCTCTCTAGGACAGGCACCTCCAATTCCAACTGAAGATCCTGTGGCCAACCCCTCACTCTCATCTACAGCCCAAAGCTCCACGCCCCTCAAACTTAAACAGAAGTCCAAACCGGACTCCTGATCCCCAGACCTGGCCACTCACAGCTTTCCCCACCTGCCCGTCAGTTGGTCACAAGTCTGGAGGCCGACCCCACATTCAGGTAGATGGACAAGTCCTGACCCCCTCAAACCCCCTAAGCCCAGCCACCACCGGCGCCCCTTCACCCATGGCACCTGGCTGTCCGATCAAGCCTTTATTTCTGAACCTTGATGGCCCCGCCTCACTTGCCAACTGTCCAAGGCCCCCGAGGCCTGCACACCCCGCGACAGGATGCTGGTCCCAGCCCTACCTCCACCTCCTCCCAGATGGCTTGATTCAGCCTCTGAGTCCTGCAGCTCACACTCCTCAGGGACTTGGCACTGGCCACGCCCAACCTGCTTCTTGGCCCTGAATGCCCTGTCCAGTCCTGTCCGCCAGTCAGGCCGCCTGCCTCCCGTGTCTCAGGGACCACCAGCTCAGTGCACACAGGCGCCCAGAAGGCCTCCTATGGGTTCACTTCAAGTCAGCAGAAAGGATGCAGCAGGGCAAGGGAGGGTTGGGGCCCTGCCCTGCAGATGTCCACTCAGGCGGATAAACTCTGTCCAGCCCCCGGGGCACAGTCACTCACCAAGCCATCTGCTCCCCACACGCCCTGGCTGGCTGCAGCCCAGCCCTGACAGACCTGGCAGCACACAGGGCTGTCTCTCGCCCCAGGGAGTACATGGCCGGTCCAGGTGTGAGCGGAGGGGCAGCCCAAGGCGCAGCAGGGGCAGCTTGGGGCTGTGGTGCAGGCGGCCATGGATGAGGGACACGTGCTCACCTCATCCTTGTACTTGGTGATGTAGGAGTAGATCTCGTGCAAGGCGCTCATGCTGTTGAACTGGCTGAGGTGCAGCCGAGATTGCTCAGCCAGATACGCACTCATGTCCTGGTCACTGATGGCGGGCATCTTGGCGATGTCAGCATAGTACCTGCAGCCAGCGGCAGGGCGGTGTGTGAACTGGGGCCCGGCATGCCCTGCCCCCACACACCTGGCTCCACGCGCCCCACAAGGCCCACCTCTCCACCCAGCTCTTGTAGTTGGGGATGTCCTTGGCGTAGAGCAGCTTGTTGGAGGGCGAGTCCTTGCCCAGCTTGTGCTCAGACGTGGAGCAGGAGTCCATGAAGGTCTGGGCCACCACCGACAGGCAGGCGTCTGTGATGCTGCTCTTGTGGATGTCGAACACAAACTGCGGGTTCTTGATCACGTTCACCCAAAAGCGCAGGGGCAGGCTGTGGGGGCAGGCCCGGGGCATGGTCAAACAGGCCCTTGGTGTCCCTCCAGATAGCACAGGAAAGGAAGGGCTGGCCAGTGGCCCTGGCGTCGTGGAATTCCACACAGACACGGACACCGAGGCCCAGAGGGGACTCTCAGTAAGTGAGGGGTCTGCTGCCCCCCAGCCAGGGTCATGTTACCCACCCCTCATCTCCTCCAGGAAGGCCACATAGTCACACATGGTGAGCATGGCCAGGAGCATGCCCTCAACCGAGGAGTCTGCCACACACGGCCAGCGTCCTCTGAGGCCTGATGCACATCACCCAGGGCCCTCACACTGGGCTCACTCAGCCCCACCCACTCACTCACGCTGCTGCCAAGACAGGCCCAGCCAGCAAGCCCAGGAAGGGGCCGGGGCCATGGCCCTACACAGCTGACCTCTGTGCCCAACCAGCCCCTCCAGGACAGGCACCAGCTGGGCCATCCTGCAGCCGTCATCACACGTCAGTGTTACATTTCAAAGAAGCAAAATTCCACGCAGTTAAACATTCAGATTTGCAGTGGCACTAGTCATGTGTCCCATGTCAGAAGCTACACGTGGCTGGCAGCCACCCCTCTGGCTAGAACAGATCTACAACACCAGCCACTGCAGAATCCCTTGGATGGTGCTGACCTGGATAATGCCACCCCCACGCCCAGGGAGTGCCATCAGGGCTCAGGGCAGACACAGGTGCACGTGGGCAACACACACCCGCCGCACATGCCAAACGAGGGTCATGCAGTTCAGAGCATGAGCTTTGCCCAGGTCCGGACAGGGGAACCGAGGCTGCCTGATGGGTGAGTAGGAAAGACCCACACAGAGAGGGGATGGCCCCCCAGGGAGACAGTGAACCCCCCTCAAGATGAGCCCCTCTACCACAGGCCAGTGACGGCCTCCTGCAGCAGCTGCGCCCCGCCATGCCTGCTTGGAGTGAGGCTGAATGCCCACTGGGGCCCTCCCCACGCTGGCGCCCCACCCTGCAGGTACCAGTTGCTCTTCCAGGTATGGCGCACGTCAGAGTCATGGATCTGATGCTGGTCGGCCTGCTCGTCCAGGAAGTCAAACATGTACTTGATGGCCAGCGGCAGGGCTGAGCCGCGGTGCGCTGTGCTGAAGATGGTCTCAAACAGGTCGTCCACGAACTTCTGCAGTGTGCCCTGTGGGCAGGCAAGGGCACAGAGCTCCAGGGGTGGCCCTGGCGCCCTCTTCACCACCTATGGCTGCTGGTGGCACCAGGGCACAGGGTGGCGGCAGCATGAGGGTGAGGGTGAGGTGCCTGCTCCGAGCTTGACTTTCGGCAGCTGGGTCCGGCACCCCCATGTCCCCACCACCTGCGCGTTTACCTTGGTGGCCAGCAGCCGCGTCAGGTAGATCTCCGAGACCATCTTGCTGCCACGGTCACCCTCCCGCTGGTCCAGGTGGTCGTGGTTCTTCACCAGGTGCCACAGCTTGGTGCCACTCTCCAGGTCGGGTGTGATCATGGGCGTGCGCGAGCGCAGGCTGTCAGGGCTGCTGGCCGTGCGCAGCATGCTCTCTGCAGGTACCGTGCCCGTCAGAGGCCAGGCCTCTAGCACCACGCCCGCCCCAGCCCTGGCCGGAGGCCCGCCAGGCCGTCTCGGTGCCCAGCCTCAGTTTCCTCTTCCGAACTTGGGGTCGTCCGCCACACCTCCCGGGTCGTCGGGGTAGCCACCCCAGGGAGACGGCGTGAATGACCCCTGAGTTGGTAGGTGCTGCGGGGGAGGCGCAGCCCCCAATTCAAGGGGAGGCCAAGTCTCCGAGTGACAGACTGCGACAAAACCCCCTCCCAGCCTTCGTAAGGAGGCATCCCCAGGCTGGCGGGCCTTGCCTGCACCCCACCCAGTCCCGGCCCTTACCATATCTGCTGAGGGACTTGGTGAAGGTGGAGGAGTTGGAGATGTTATAGGCAGACGTCTGCTTAGGCACCAGCGCCACTGAAGACCCGTCCGTCACCTGAGGGCGGGGAGCCAGGACATGCATGACCGACCATTGGGGGCCCAGGTGACACCCCCAGCCTTTTCTGGTTCTGTGCCTGGAGGTCAGTCACCTCGGGACTCTGAGCCTTAGTTTCCCCATCAGCGCACCTCCAGGGCTGTGGGGGTGGCCTGATGGACCCAGTGCAGGACCTGAGGCGGTCACATCTGTGACCTCGTCTCCTTTTCTCCCTGACATTTACCACCTTCCTGGGGGGCTGCACAGGGCTCCCATGCAGCTCTGGAACCTTAAGGCGGGAGGTTCGGGAGGACTCAGGTCACCTGGTAGTGAGCCAGCGTGTTCAGCCTCTTCCAGTCATTGTCGATCTTGGTGGTGACGTCCTCGTCCTGCAGGATGATGCGTGCCATGCGGCCCTGGCGCCATTCTGCGGGGAAGGGGAGCACTGGAGGGACGGCCACCCATGCAGATGCCACCGCTGCCCTTGTTTCCAGACCTGCCCTCTTCCTGATCGCCAGACTCTAGTGGCAGGAGGGTAAGGCAGGACCAAAGAGGCCCGGGAGCCTGGGGGCACTTAGCGAAGGACCTTGGACCTGGAGAACAATGAAGGGCCTGGTCTGGCTCCTCCGGCCCTCCAGGCAGCTCCGGTTCTGGCTCAGAGCAGGAAGCTCGAGCCCTTGAGCCCTCGCAGTTGAAACCTGCTCCTCCACCTGCAGAAGCGGCCATGCCACCACCCCAGGCAGTCCAGCCCCTATGGCTCTCCTGCCTTCTGGAGTTCTGGGCCCAACTCCGCAACACGGTGGCCTCTCCAGCCCCTTCTACCCTACTCGACCTACTCCTGCTCTTTTGGGTCTTCCTAGCTCGATAGGGCCCCCTAAATTGTCTAACTCATGAACAAGAGCCCCTCTGCCTTGAATTCTGATGGCCCACCCACCTCCAGAGTTGGGAGAACCCACTCCTCACTCTGCCTCTCATCTGGACAGCACAGCAGCTAAGCTCCATTCCTGCTTCCACCCTCTCCCCCACCTTCCCCCACCCAGCTAGGAGATTTGGGGAGCCCAGCTCCACCACATCCCACCCCTTAATCTCTCCTACTCCCTGTGGATCCTAATACTCTCCAGATCAGCACCCAGTGCCTGGTCTGGAATGGGAAGCCCTGCCTAGACTTTCCCCCAGACAGGTGCCCTGGTGCCGCCCCTCTGCCTCGGGCCTTGGCACACACTGGCCACCACTCAGAAGCCCCAGCGTGACCAGACTGCCAGTCAGCTCACCCAGGTCCATGTCCCCAGCCTTGGGTCGCTGGGAGTAGGGCACGCCCTTGTACACAGCGTCCAGCAGCTTCTCCTTGACCTGCGTCACCGTGTCGCAGTTCAGTCCCTTCACTGGCACCTCCGGTGCGTTCTCGTTCTCAGGGTTCACGCAGTTCAGAGTCTGCAGAAAGGAGGGGTGGTACTATCAGTCCCTACCTCTCCCGGGTGGGCGCCAGGGAGCCCCAAGGGGCGGGGCAAGAGGGGCCGGGCACCCGCGCTCACCAGCGTCTTGTAGTCGATCTGCTGCCGGATGAGCTTGTCCTCGCTCAGCGAGTAGCGAGCCTCTCCCGTGATGGCGTCGATGGGGCCCTTCTCCATCTGCTGCTTGATGGCGCAGTACAGCATGAAGAGCGGCTCCCCCGCGCACTCCTGCAGACGGGAGGGCAGGGTCGGATGGGCTCCCGCGCCCCCGCCCCCTTCCCAGAGAGTCTACACCATTCCCGCACACGAGCGACGCTCTCCAGCTATTCACAGAAGGGAGGTTGAACCCTGGCGCCAAAGTCCAAACAAGACCTACGCCAGAGAGAAAGTTCAACGACAGACCTGCCGTCCCGTGAACATGCACGTGGAGATGCTGAATGCGGCCGGAACAGGAGGGCGGCGAGCATATCAGAGACCATGTGGGGTTTGCACCAAGGAAGACCAAGGCCGGTCACTCCACCCTGCTGATGCCCCAACACCCCACTCACTGGCGCTGGCTCAGGATGAGCCCACAACCCACACACAAGCGTGGCCTGACCTGTTGAGTACTGGGCCCCCTGGCTGGGACCATCCCCTGCGGTCGAGCCTTTAGCAGATCCGATCAAGGGTGCAGCACATGCACCCGAGGGAGTAGCAAGAGGCACAGGGCCCACAACCCAGTGCCAGTCGGGCTCAGGGGGCTAGCCGGGGCAGTCATCTGGGCACGCAGTGAGGGCCTGCTCTGCCTCTGCCAGTCACTACTCACCCTCCAGTTACCTCCCCACACCATAGCCACAAAGGCCACTTCCTGCTCCTCCTGCCACCCCAGGCTCGCGGTGCTGGCTGTCCCTCCAACCACATATCTCCCTCAGGTCTTCAAGGTCCCTCCCAGACTCAAATCAATGCGTCTCCTCAGAAGGCTCTCCCTGACCACGGGCCAACGCCACAGGCCCTGCTGCCCTCCTGGGCACGTGTGGCCCCTGAGAGTCGTGATCACGTTGTTGCGTCTCCTCCTGGAGTGGAAGCTACCCGAGGCCACAGCACACCCGGCTCCCGCACAGCACATCCCCACGCCCGGCATGGGTCCTGTGCATGCCAGAGGCTGCAAGACACTGCCCAGCGCCGAGTGCCAGGGGTGGGACAGAAAGAGCCATGGAAGGGAAGGCTCATGTCATAGAGCGAAGTGAAGAACAAACAGCACCCAGAGCTCGTCTGGCCTGCCAGCTCTGAGAGCCGCCGGCTGTGTGGTTGGGCTTGCACCCCAGAACCAGTGGGTCCAGCCGGAGCCTCGTCTGGGCTGCCTGAGGCTGTTCGGGGGGAGTGTGCCCCAAGCGAACGGCAGGCTGGCCACCCGCCTCCGCCCGGCTCCCACCCGGCCCCTGACACAAAAACAGCAGCTCGGCCCCAGCAGATGCTTCTGGCTCCTTGTTAGTGTCTGCGGTAATTAAAGAGACAGCTGCTAAGGAGCGGCCGCAGCATAGATCATCCCAAGGCCCTCCAACAACACGCCTGTCTTTGGAATTATGTTTCATTTGCAAACTTGGCTTCATTAAGTCAGCCAGGAAGGAGGAGAGAAGGGGGTGTGGATGGGGATGCAGAGCCATTAATAGCTGCCTCTCTTTCGGCGAACGCCCTCTGCGGAGAGAGGCTGGAGGACAAAGCGCATGCCTGCCCCAGGTACCTGGGGTGCACTTCAGAGAAGAGAAAGGAGTGTCTCTGAAGGTCAAAGGTGTAAGGTTATTGGCTCAAGATTACAGAGCAAACAACCAGAAGCCAGGATTTGAAGTCAGATACAACTACCTGTACACTCCGCCTTTGGAAGCTAAAATGTCCTCAAAGGTGGTTCAGACCAAGAGAGGTATTGGCGCTGGCTCTGCCAGCAGACTCCCACTTGCTCCTATGAGACCTACTCAGATGGTGGGAAGCCGAGACAAGGGACTGGAAGGGCCAGACTGGGAACTCGCCCAATCTTTCCCTTCCCGGTCCTCACTGGAATGCATAGCAAGGGGGAAAGGATGACCTCAGATGCTTCCCAGCCTCAGCGGCTAATGTGCAGAAACTGCCTGGTAAATGTTTTATGTAAATAGGTAATATGTTGAAACTGCAAAATTAAAAGATCCTCTTCTCAAGTAAAAAGATATCCAAGTTGTTTGATAAATAATGTGAGGGGTGGTGCTTTTCCCTTTGGGGGGACAATCGTCTAGCGAGGTCCCTACCTCACGCCACTTCTCAGCATAACGCTGGAATCAAAAAGATGGAAAGAGTATATGTTAAAAAAAAAAACAAACCTCCTATAAAAATTGGCAAAGGATAGAAATATACAATTCACCAAAAAAATAAGAGGCCAATCAAACACATAAAAAGATGTTCAACTTGTTAAAGAAATACCAACTAAAGCAATAAGCTATCAAGTTGCCAAGTTGGCAAAGATGAAAAAGACTGATAAAGCAAGAGCTACCCAAGGCCTGAGGAAGCCAGAGCCTCAATCACCAAAGCAGTGCAACCTCTGTTACAGGACAACTCGGCAGCATATTAAAAGTGAGCGCGCCGAATCACCTGCGACGGCCTTGGAAGTCCACTCAGTGTTAATGCAGCAACAAAGGTAACAAAAACAGATCAGAATGTTGGCTGCAACACTGATGGCAAAGAGGTCTCCTGACACCCATCAGCAGGGCGACAGACCACCGTGCAGCACCCACACTGTAGAACATTACACAGGGGTCCAAAAGGGTGTGACAGGTATCCACGTTTGGACTGCAAAGGTGACCACGACACTTTGCTCAAGGTGCAGCATCTCCCTCACACCTGTTCACCTGCCCCCAACACCCTCCAGACAGTGTCTCTCCCGCTGCCACCTACCTTGAGGAACTTGTACAAAAGGAAGGTGAACCAATTGGTCAGCATCTTCTCTGCCACTGACTCCGTCCTGGGGACATGACACAGGCAAAGGTATCACAGCTCCCATCACCAGTGCCCCACCATGCCCACCTCCTGCGCCATGCAACATCAGGCCTCAGGGGCGTCAGTCAACTAGCGATTTTCATGGGCTCCAGGGCAGGCTTCTGAGTGAGACAATGTGGGCCTGGCATCCATGGGCCCAGATGAAGTATGCCTCAGAGTGGGGTTCCTGAGCCCAGAGTGGGTCCCCACTACCAGTCTCCAGTGCTGAGGAAGCCGGGGCGTACCCCACTGCATAACAGCAGCACCTCTGGGCTTGGCAGTCAGCAGGGCCTCTACTCTGCAGCTGGGAGACGCAGGCCGCCTACAGCAGCAGGCTCACCTTCGCAGCAGCAGTTTGGGGTGGTTCTTGCTCTCCAGGTTCTTCTCAATGAGGTCAGACAGCAGCTGCTTGAGCACGCCCGTGGCATACTCCATCTCACCCTGCAGGGCCGTCATGATGAGCGAGGCCACGTTCCCACGGTCGCGCATGGAGAAGCTGCGCTGGGCCTCCAGAGTACGGATGAAGGTCAGCAGGAAGTGCTTCTTGGTCAGCAGCTGCCCGAACAGTGTCAGCGATTTCTCCACATTGGCCTGCACCTGGTGGGGAACACGAGTCTGCTCAGACCATCCATCCCAAAAAGATGAGGTGGGGGGGCAGGCCTTCTAGCTGAGACGCTGTCCGGACCTGGTGTACTCGGGCAGGTAATGCCAGAGGGCAGGTTTGGGAGAAATGGGTGACATGTTACCTGGACAGATCCCCAGGACTCAAATATCCTCAGCTGAATGGATGTGGCCTGGTAGCGGCCTGACAAGCCCCCCACAGGTAGAGAACAGGGACTTGGTAGGTGCACAGAACGAGGGCCTGTTCTTGCTACCCTCCTGTGGCCAAACCCCGAGACTGGTGGTCCCCACGGTCTGGTCCAAGTAGCTCAGAAACAGCCTGTCTCAATGCCCTCACCTGGGCAGCCCCAATGTCTCACTCTACCCTCACCACAACGAGCAATGCAGAGAGCACCTCCCCATTTTACGGGGGAAGACACTGAAGTCCAGAGAGGGAAAGAGGCTTGTTCAGGGCCAAACACCATGGGAGTGGAATGCAGGCACAGCTGGCTCCAGTGCCCTGTTCTCACCCACATCAAGGCTTGTGAGGGCAGGAGGTTTCTGACCTGGCTGTGGCAGAGACTGCCAGAGACACCTGGCCCTCAGCCCAGTAGCCAAGTGACAAGCCTCTGGTAAAACACACAGCCAGAGCTAGGAGAGCAGTCAGAACAGATGGCAACACCAGGAAAGAGACCCAACAGGGGGAAACAGGGAGACCCAGACTTGGCACCAATCCTAGGCAATGCTCTGGGCCCAAGCCAGAGCAACAGGAAGACCCGCTAGGTCTAGTTCGAGAGGGAATGTCATACCCCTGGTGCCCACGGGGGAGTGAGCTCCCTAACATCCGAGGCTTGCAGGGCAGTGATGCCCCAGGCTGGAGAGCACGTCAAATCCAACTTTACGGAGACCTTGGCTGTTCTCAGCTGGGGACTGGGCTCCTGGCCTGGCACTGAGGGGCCTTGAAAACTTGGGGGCAGCCCATTTCCCCCAGCATAGCTGTGCCAACAGCCTGGGTGCTGCCGACATCTACACAGCCAAAGCCAGAGTCTCCATGCTGCATCAGCTACATGCTCCCACCCCAAACAGCCACGCAAACTCCAGCTGGGTACCCCCACGACCCAGCATGCACAGCGTAGCCACCTGCCCAGGGAAGTTCAGGACTATGACTGGTGGGTGGCAGATGGCAATCAATGGACTATTGAGCCCAGGGAAATGTATGTAAACGACTGGGTGAGGCCGGGCCCCCAGCCCAAATCCCCTCCAGGCCCTCTGCCCTGCCGCTGCCAAGAGCTATGCCTCCCATAGCCCCTCCCCACTCAGCTGAGTCCTGAGCCTGCAGACTTGGGAGTCCCCCCAGGACCTTCTGGTTGCCCACCAGCACACAAGGAGCCCCACGGGTAGAGGCCCCAGATAGCAGCCCACCTCCATCTCCTTGAGCACCGGGTGATCCTCAATCCCGGGGAAGAGCACCCGCATGGCATATGTTCGGTAATCAAGGAAGGGGATGCCAGCACCGTCCAGATCATTGGTCAGTTCATGGATGTCTGTCTGTAGCTCTGCAAAGGCTGTGGCCAAAGGTGGGGTCAGTGCAGCCTCTCGCTGGTACCCATGCCCTCCCACACTTGGGCCAGGCTCAAACCCTGCTCTGCCACTTGCTGGCTGGATCACCTTAAAAAAAAACCAACTCTGTCTGCCTGTACTTGGTTTCGCCAGAACTAACATGGGGATAAGAACCTTGTCTCAGTGGGTCCTTGCAAGATTAACCAGGACAAGAGCAGGCTAAGGACTGGGACTCGGACCAAGACCAGGCTGACAGGGATCTCCTGGACCTCACATTAATATTTGGGGACAAAGTAACTATGGGTGCCAGCTCCTTTTGCCACCTAGGGTGCACACTGCCTGCCTTGGTGGCCCTGGCTCAGCCACCTGGGACTGGAAGGGAAGGAAAAGGGTGTGGCCAGAGGTGGGAGGTGATGGGCAGTTCTCCTCCAGCCTGCCCTGTCCCCACCACCCCATGCATAGCTCAGGTCAGTGGAACCTTTTACATCATCTGCCATGTTCCAGTGACTGCCTCTTCCAGAAACAAAGGCAGGCAGGGTAAGAGTAGGCACTGATTGAATATTCTGGAGCTGTGGGGCATTGCCCGGCAGCAGCCAGAGGGATGTGCTATCTGATCAGGAGCCAGAGGAACACTGGGCGGGTTCTGGGTCTGACTGGCAATTGTAATTAAAAGTCAGGGCCTTCATCTTCTGGGCACTGCTGCCAGGCGTCTGGTTATCTCCACCTGGCCAGCCCTGGAAAGCCCGCCAGCCACCGTGTCCCCATGTTCTCTGGCAGATAAAGGCAATATGCACACTGGCCTCAGTGGACAGTCATCTCCTGTGGGAGGCCCAGCCTGCAGAGGTCCCCCCTCTGGCCCTGCCCAGGCTATCTGCCTCCCCGCCCCCAGCCCCACCAGGATTACCCACTGGGTTCATGGGTGTGCCTGGCAGAGGAGGCACCTGGGATACAGGACTTTCACTTCTAAGATGGTCAGGGTCCCGAGAAAACAAAGACCCTAGGCCTAGTGGGGTTAACATGGGCCACTGCAGGCAGGAAGCTGCCAGGCAGTAGATACCCACTGGGCTTCAAATCCCAGCCAGCACTTCTATTTCCATATCCCCAAATCAGGAGTACCCTGGCAGCTGCCTCCCAGCCGTCTGTTAGTATCCACGGTGCGCTCCGGGTTAGGGCTGGTACCTAACAGGTACACCAAACCACTGCTGTGCAGTGCTGCTCTGTTCACCCTGGTGAGGCCCCGGACCTCAGACGGGGTGCCCGGAGCAGCACAGCGAGCCAGGGTCATGCGTGGCGGGTGCGGCCCCAGCTCTGTGGGCTCATCTTACACTCAGAATCTGGATGCTTACTTCCCCCTCAAGGCTAAGGCTGCTGTCCCGCCCACTGCACCCACCACACACACAGGAGCTGGCCCACTCACACCTCAAGGGCTCAAGTGCAGTCCAGGCCTCCACCCTGGGCCTCCGGGTCTGGCCCAAAGTGAGCTCATCAGGGAAGCTGAACTTCCACCTTGCCACCACAGGGCGAGAGCACCTGGACCATGGAACAGAGCCCCTGGGGGCCGCATCCACGGGCTGGCACACGCGGGACTAAGCTGATTCCCACACTCCCACCCAGGGTCACAGAAGACGTGAGCCGCCTGCCTCAGAGGCACGGGCTATAGCCTGACCCCCCCGAGACAGGGTTGGAGAACCAAGGCTGGCGCAGGCTGAGATCTGTGTGCTGCGGCGCTGGAGAAGGGCCCTCCTCGGCCACACCCACCACCCCTGCACCTGCCCGCGTGTGCTCTCCCTGCTCTGTGGGCTCCACACAGCCCTAAGGCCACCGCAGATGACACTCCACCCTTGTGTCCCAGGGCCCATCCAGGTCCCTGCCTGGGTCCCGCTCACAGCCCAAGCATGTCAAGGCCATCGGGAACATTCTGGACTAAGTGGTGGCGGCAGGTGGGACAGGGCCAGCCACAGGGACCCTTGCACCTCATCATCCCTGAGCCCCCCTCCCTGCAGCCAAACAGACCTTCCTTGCACTCGAGGGCCACGCGGGACTCCAGGTTGTCCATCTGCAGCTGCAGCCGCTTAAGCGTGCGGTCCGCGTCCCGGGACTTGCGCTTGTAGGCGATGAGCACGGCCACGATGACCAGCAGCAGGAGGCCTCCACCCCCACCGATGCCCACGATGGCTGGCAAGGTCAGCAGGCTGTCCGAGTACACCTGCAGCATCCCTGGCGAGAACTCGAAGCCACCCGCCCGCACCTGTGGGTGGGGGACAGGACGCTCAGGGGACGCCACACCCACTTGGAGCGCTGGAGACCCCTGGCCTGTAATCCCCAAGACCCCACAGCACCTGTCCCTGCCCCAGAGTGATCAGCAGGGATCAGGAGACGGGTTCGGGGCAGGGGCCGGGCCCGCCACAGGACTCCAGCGTTGGGCGAGGCTCAGGGTTGCATGGGGGCTGGGCTCTCTGACTTGGAGGCCATCTGGGCTGTGGACCCACGGCCGGGGTAGTCCGGGATGAGGCAGGGTCTGCAGGTCAAAGGTGGCAGGGGCCTAGGTGATGAGAGCCTGGGCTGGCCTGCGAATCATCAGGCCCAGGACTCACCGTGACCTTGTGCTGCCCCGTGAGGTTGGGTGACTCGCAGAGCAGCTGCGTCTCCGACACCGTGAGGGCACAGGGTGTGGAGCCGATGAGCACCGTGTAGTTGAGCCGAGAGTTGCCGGGTGCAGGTGGCAAGAGGTTCCGGCCCTGTGGGGGTTGGGGTAAGTCAGAGAGCCCTGCCACCCCTGCCCACCCACATACGTGCCCACCTTGGGAGGACTTCCCCCACCTTGAGAATGAGCGGGGAGCTGGGCTTCAGCTCCAGGAGGCCGGTGGGGCTAAGCGGCTCCAGCACGGGGTCCGGGTAGTAGACGAAGGTGGAGGCGTTGAGCACCAGGAGGGCGCGCACATCGTCCATGACAAAGCCCAGCTCATCTGGCCTCTCCCCCAGCTCGGGCGGGGTGCGCGCAGGGTTGTCCACAGATGGGGCCTGGCACACCATGGTGGTATCGTTGTACACCAGGCAACTCTGGGGATACAGACATGGGCCACAGGGTCGGTGCTCCCCACAGAGCCCAGGCCCAGGACCCAGCAGGGCCCTGGGGCAGGTGGGGTGGCCCGGCACTGGGTCTGCACACGGACCCCCACCGCCAGACGGGCGGGCGACCTTCCCGAGGGCTCTAAGACAGCTGCAGCAGACAGAGCTGTGAGGGACGGGCCAACGAGGACTCACATTCTCCCTCTCGACGCCTCCGTACTTGGCCCGGATGCGGGGCTCTCGGACCGTGGCCAGGTTGGTGCCCGTGACCGTCAGGAGGGTGCCTCCGCTAGAAGATGAGGAGATGGGGGTCATGGACAAAGCTCTGCCGCAGCAGAACAGGTTGGGTCAGACCCACAACTGGCACCTCAGCCACACCCCTGCCCCTGGGACGGCTGGCAGGTGAGGGCTGCAGCGGAAGACTGGGTGGCAGGATGGCACAGAGGAGCAGAGTGCACAGCTGTGTGAATATGCCACACTCGGCACAGCGTGGGACAGAGGGGAACTTGGGGCTCCGGGTAGGCCAGGGGTGGCCCCACCTGTTGATGCTCCATTCGGGGTCAATCTTCAGGATGGTGGGGTCCTCGGTGTAGTTGTACTTCACCTCAGGGTTGGTGAGCTGGGCACGGTTGATGTTGATGACGATGGGGGCACTGCCCGGGCTCTGCCCAGGGGGTGTTAGGCACCGGATCTCCCGGGAATTCCTCCTGGAGGGGCCGGGTGGGACAGTGAGGGTACAAGCGCTCAAGTTTACCTTCTAGGTGACCCCAGTAAGCATCACAAGAGGTGGTGGCAAGTCACTGGCTCTCCCTGGGCCTTACCCCCTGCAAAATGGGGCCCACGACAGGACGGCTGGCACCTCACTTTACCCGTTCCCCCTCAGGGGCCAGGCGCAGGTCTGTGCCTACCCTTCGTCCCAGCCCCGGCCTGGCCCCTCTGCACTGGCCTGCTTGGCACTTGAGGCTCTGCCTGACCTGCCAGCCACCTCCCCTGCTGCACTTACTCCCCAAGTCACCCCGATAGCTTCTGCCTCCCCTACCACATCAGTGAGCAGACCTGCCAGCACCCTGACTTGCACGAGCTCAGTCCAGGTGGGCACCTCAAACAGGTAGGAAGGGGAACACAGTTCTACCTGCCTCAAAATGGCAGTGGGATGAAGCCCATGAGCCCCCAACCTTCTCACCCATGGCTTCAGCTTGCTATGTGGAAGGTGCCCCAGACCCGGACCATGAGCTAGCAAGGAGGGGGCCAGGATGGGGGGCACTGGGACAGCAGGAGGGGGCCAGGAGTGGGGGGATGGGGGCAGCAAGCAGGGGGCAGGATGGGGGGACGGGGGCAGCAAGGAGGGGGCAGGATCAGGGGGACGGGGGCAGCAAAGAGAGGGCAGGATGGGGGTCACTGGATAGCAAGGAGGGGGCAGAATGGGGGGCACTGGGATAACAAGGAGGGGCAAGATGGGGGGCGCAGGGGCAGCAAGGAGGGGGCAGGATGGGGGGGCACAGGGGCAGCCAGCCAGTCACTGCTTGCACCTGGGGCCCTGTCCCCTCAGCTCCTTAACCACAGTTGGGAGGCCCCACAGCCGCCAGACCCGCTCTGCACGGCAAGGCTGCAAACACCAATAATTAGTCTGATAACGGGTAATTACCGCAGGAAAATATTTAAAGGGCCGCTCCATTATCATCCCTAATCTAAAATTATCCACTTCAAGCCTTGGGGCTTTTGTTAAGATTTCTTTTTTCTTTCTTAAAAATTTTTTTTAAATACTTCTTATGTTCCCAAGGGATTCCCTCCCCCGCCCTCCAGGACAGGGCCACGGTGCCCGCCTCTCAGGTCAGGCCCCACCTACCCACCGGGGCCTTGCCCTTCCCACTCTGGAGGTAGCCCGTCTCCATGGTAACCCTGTCCGCCTGGAGGTTTCCATAGTGATCACCCCAACCAGGTTATCCACACCCCCGTTTCCCAGGCAACAGGAGGGGGGCACGCAGCCATCTGAACCAACCAACACCAGGGGAAGGCGGGCTGTGCCCCTGGCCCCCCACCTCCCGTCTGCTCCCCGTACCAGGAGAAGGAGCAGGGCCGGCCGCCGACAGACACAGCCACGTCACTGCCTGCATTCAGGTGGCTGCCCTCGATGCCAATCCAGGTGCCCCCGGACAGAGGTCCGCGGGCAGGGCTCACACGGTAGAAGGTTGGCGTCTACGGAAGAAGGCTGTGCTGGACCCGGGGAAGGCCTGCCGCTCTGGCCAGCAGCCTGCCTGCCTCTCCAGCTGAGACCCACCCATGCCCCTGGGTCGCGCACAGGCCACCGGGGCCTGGGGAGCTGACGTCGGGTCACAGAGCTGCGGAGGGAGGGGAAAGATGCGAGGCAGGCCAAGGAGGGAGGACACCGCCGAGCCCACGACGGGGTGGCCTTTGGGCCGGGCCGGGCCCTGGGCAGATGAGGCCCCACAGACCCCCTCGGCCACCTGGAGAGGACAGGCGACGGGCTGGGTGGGAGGGGGCTTACCACGAAGGTGAAGCGCTTGGGCGACAGGGCCCGGTAGTGGGGGGAGCAGTCCCTCACGCACACTTCCACCAGGGCGTCGTGCGCCCGCACCGAGCTGGCGTCCCCGATCTCACAGACGATCCTGTGGGACACCAGGCGGGTTTCAGGGCTGTGTGGGGCCAGCGCAGGGCCACCCGTCCACTCCGCCCGGACCACACTCACTGCTCGGCGCTGATGTACTCGCTCTCCACAGGGCTGCACAGCACCTTGCCCACACGCACGCCCAGACGCACGTCCTCGAAGCGCAGGCCCAGGTTCTCGCCCGTGATGGTGAGCCGAGTGCCTCCTTGCCGCGGGCCCGTCTCCGGGGACAGCTGTGGGGAGGCGGAGGCTGCGACATGGGCACCGGCCCCCAGCAAGGGCCATTCTGTGCTGGGAGTGCAGCGAGCCCCTCCCTGTGGCCCAGGAGTCCTGCCTACCTTAAGGATCTTGGGGTCAGCACAGCGGCTGCTGCCATGGCGGGCGTGCATCCAGGCAGCGGGAGAGTCGGCAGGGCAGTGAGGGCGCAGGGAGCAGCGGCGCTCGGCCACGCACCAGCCGCACTCGAAGCGAGGGTCGGCCTTGAGGCAGAGGCCGCAGCTCTCCCGTAGGGCTGGGCACTTGTAGAGGTGGGCTGCGGGAGGAACACGGTCAGCTCCGCCCACCCCCGCCCCACCCCCCAGGGCCACCCCGTCCAGCTCACCCTGGATGTTCTGGGGGTTGTCAATGACGAAGTTGCCATTCCACACCACGGACAGGTTCACGGGCAGGTCGCTAATGTCGTTGCCCTCATAGGAGTACTGTGGGAGCAGACACAGTGGTCAGCCGTGTGGCACAATCACAGGCCACTGCCATGGGCAGTGGCGTGGGGTGAAGGCCTGTGGGTCCCTCCCAGCCACACCTTTGGGCGGGCCACTTGGGGTGGGCCTGGCAGGCAGGGTCTAGGAACTTAAATCTGGAGCAACTGGCATTTCCAATTGGGAGCTGGACGCCCCACAGAACCAGCTGTCCACAGTGAGCACAGGAGGCTGAGCCTCTGCTGCACGCCCTGCTGCCACCTAGCACACCAGCCTCCTTCCTGGCAGCCACAAACTGCCCCCAGCCAGCCTCCTTGGCCAGCAGCCACGCAAGGGACACTCTCCGGGGTGGCCTCCCCTCTCGACCCTGTGGTCAGCATTGCCAGGAAACTGGGACTTCCCCGCTGGGCCCCTTGGATGCACATCGGGTGCTCAGTGACCCTGGGTCTCCTCCTCTGCCCTGAGGTGTGAGGCGTGTGTCCCGTGTTCAGTGCAGGGGCTCCCGGGAAGCACGGTGAGTGAGGCTCTGCCCCTCACCTCCCAGGCTGAGCAGGCTCCTGAGCGGCCCTCCCCTGGGAGCCCAGGGCCAACGTTCGCAGCAATGTCCCACTTTCCGCAACCCAGGACCTCCATTCAGTCCCCTGAGCAATTCATCATTATTTTATCTGCAGGAATTTAATTGGATCCTATCACATTCCCTGACACTCCCTTTTTCCCTCTAAACACGGCTATAGGGATGATAAATGTGGGCCTGGTGAGAGGGGAGGCTCGGAGGGGCAGGGATGCAGAGACAGAGGCGACAGGCTGGGGATGGGGATGGGAGACACGTGGACAGCGAGGAGGCAGAGGCAGGCAGGGGAAAAGCCAGAGAAGCAGGTGGCGGGGCAGCCCACAAAAGTTGGTGATAAAAACGGAGAGAAAATGGAACGGATCAGGTGGGCAGGAAGGCGCAGGGAACGTCAGGCCTGGCATGGCAGAGCGGCCAACCTACTCCCCGGAGTCAACTGTGACCCCCATCACGGCCCCATGGGCTTCACCACTCCCACTGGCACCTTTGAGAACAAACAAGTGGTCAGCGAGGGGCTGCCACCCTCAACAAGGAGCCAGACCTCTGACCTCAAGGCCTTTCCCCTGGGATTCTAGAGACGGGGAGGGCAAGTCCACGCAGACAGCCCAGAAGCACCTCCCCCACCCATCACCGCCTGGACCAGGTCCAGGAAATAAATTTACGCTCTCCCGACTCCACTCTTCCTGATGGGGAAACCAAGACCTGCTAGCCATCACTGGCGAGCGGGGAGCGGCTCCAAGAGCGGCTTCCTCTTGGCACACCTGTCTGCCAGTGTGAACCCGGGCAGGGGTGGTGACGGCACGAGGCTTCTGCCTGCCTTCACTCAGGCCTCCTCCCCACATCCCGACCCTGGCCGAAGCAGGCAGGTGCATCCCACCAATTCTAAGTTCCCAAACCCATATCTGTGCCCCCTCCAAATGTGGGTGCCTCTCTCAAGACCGCACCTGCACATCCCACCCTGTCACCCTAAGGGGCGTGGCATGGTCAGGGGAGCCCGGGACAGACCCGACTATGCACTGTCCTTTGTGCTGCAAACAGGAACCAGGTCCTGAGGGTGCAAGGATGATGGCCCAGTCCAGTCCAAACCCCCACAGCCTCACCCGCCCAGCAGCTCACCGAGGAGTTCTGGCACTGCAGGCTGGAGCTGTTGAAGCGCAGGGCGGTGACGCGGGCCGGGCTCCCCGGGACATGGAAGAGACACTCGTACCCACGCTGGCCCGACTGGGGCTGTGGCAGGTTCCGGGCAGCCAGGGTGATGGGCTTCACCACGCCCACCGGCACATAGATCTGGGTGGAGGGCAGGATCTGCGGGCAGTCCTGAGGGTGACAAGGCTTTGGCTGAGCCGGGGGTGCAGCCCATGGCAGCCTGCACGTGGAGCTCCAGGCGCACCAGTGAGCCCATTTTACACACTGGCAGGCTGAGGCCTCAGAAACAGCCAGCTGCACCGAGTGGCGGCGGCGATGGCCGCGCACTGTCCCCAGAGGCTGGCCCTCCTCCCTCTGGGCCCAAGCACCCAGCCCACCATTTAGGCTACTGAAGGGGCCACATCTGGCCCACAGCTGAAAAGGCCCCTGAGATAGAAGCAGCCAAGAGTAGGGCGCTGGGCTGCAAGTTCTCAGCTGGGGGCCCAGGGAGCATATAAAAATAGTCAGAGCCAGGCAGAAAAACAGCCCAGGCCCCGGGGGCCAGCGTTTCGGCAACAATAACTGATGCAACGGCCCGGCTTCCTTGCAGCACGGCGGGCGGCAGCGCAGAGGAGACAGGCCCCCCTCCCTTTGCCCCCCGGGAACACCACTGAGCTGGGCTTTAAATAGAGGTGCTGAAAACAGCCAGTAATCCCCAGGCCCCGCAAAAGCTCCCAAGGTGGCAGGGGCCTGGGACCGGCTCTGTGGAGGTTTTCAGGGTCTGAGGAGGGTGCCCAGATTCTGGGCCCAGTGAGCCGGCCACTAACCACTGGGTGTGCAGGGACACCGTCTCCACGGGGGAGGCAGGTGATGGTGACACATCCTCAGCATCACCACCCGCCACCCCACACTCAGGGCTGGATCTGCAGTCGCATCCAGCCTGCAGCCCTGGAGAGCAGTCGCCGGTGTGCACGGTGCCCCATACCTACACCAGCACTGCCCTGGCCATTTGAAGGGGCATCCAGGTCAGCCCCCAAGCCCAGGGATCCTCCTGCCACCTCCCCAGCAGGTCTGCCCCTCCCGTGCCCTCAGCAGCCCTGGCTTGTGCTGATCACCAGGATCCCAGGCACAAAGGGGCGCCCACTCGGAGGGAGCTACGAGCGTCCCTGAGTGATCTCAGAGAGTGAGCTGGGAGCACTCGAGGACAAGCAGCACAAACACACAGGGTGGCCGGGCCCTTCCTCCAGAGGACACGGCCCTTGAGGGACTCCAGTCTGAGCGCAGAGCCCGGAACCTATTTCTATGATTCCAGTTGGAGTTTTCCCCTTGATCTAGAATGCTTTTGCTTATGCAGATCAAGCAAGAATTCACAGCCTCCCAGACCCTCCAGCTGACAGGCGTGGTGTCCGCTGTAAATGAAAGGCGCTGGCTTCAAGTCCTGCTCTGCACTCACAGGCTGGATGTAGGGAGCCCTGCCCACCCCTCCTGGCCTGGCAGGACCCCCAGTACTAGGATCCTTGGGTCCAGGACGAGAGGCCCACTGATCATAAATAAAGCCAGCGCCTGGCCCAGGTTCCAAAAATAATTACTAGCTAATTACCATCAATTACCACATGGTAGTTCCAATAACTCCAGGAACTGACCAGCCGCCCTGCAAGTCAATCTGCCGAGTTCCCTCGTCCACATGGACTTGCACACCAGGCCTTGTGCTAGCACACCAGCCCCTTCCACGTCCCCTCCTGCTCTTTGGCCTGCAGTTCCCCAGCAGAGGCCCAGGTCAGAGACTGGTCTGAGGCTTCCCCTAAGGATCACAAAGGAAATCCAGTGACCAGCAACCACAGCCACAGGCGAAGACAGCCCTGGAGGACATTGCCCAGCTCCAGACTCCCATGAATCCCCCTCATGCAGGTGGGCCCAGGCACACTCGTTGTACTCCAAGACCCTGAAACACGGGTGGCCTTACCTCAGATACATTGACGCGGCCCTCCAGAAAGGCGCAGTCGGCGGCATTGTGTGTGCACACGTGGCGGTATTTGCACCAGTGACAGGGGAAGGAGCCATTGACACAGGACAGGCAGCTGCAGGGAGAGGGCCAGCCAGGGAGGTCAAGACAGCATGTGCCTCCGCCTCCACCCACCAGCCACGTGGGCACCTGCCTATTGCTCCTCCTGTGGTCATTTGCAAGGCCCACCTTAGGGCCTTAGCACTGGCTGTTCCCTGCTCCTCTGACAGCCAATCTCATCCACCAGCCCACCAGGTACCCCTCCTTCACTGCTTTTCCTCCAGGCCCTCGATCATCTGACAGCCCTGCGCAGCACCAGTCCACTGTGGTGACCGGCAGCCTCACCAGGCCACACCTGACAACTAGCACTAGGAAACTTGCTAGTCCAACTAGGGAAGTACCTTTTAAATTTCATCTCATCTTAATTAACTTGGAGTTAAAATTTAGGTGGTGAGCAGGGCCTGCAGGGCAGGACAGAAAAGACATCTGCTTCCCCAACCAGAACCAGGCTCCACCTGGAGCAGCTTGTCCTATTCATTCCAACATGTCCCCAGGGCCTGGACAGGGTCCTTGTGGTCCTCTGGCAAGCAGGCCCCACAGCTCACATCCCGTCGTCTGGCTAGATGGGGGCACCCACGCTCCCCAGGAGGATACTGCCTCTGGTTTCTCTTGAGGAACCCCACCCTATCCATCTTACCCCAGCTGATAATACCCCAGTAATATCAAGACCCCCAGGCCCACAGTGGATGCCCCATGGGGAGCCAGGAGGAAATCAGTCTACAGTCAGTCAACAAGACTCCGAGGCTAAACCTCACCACCTTGAAGGGTCTTCCTGCTACCCAATGCTGGACCCTCCAGGCCAGGTACCGTCCAGGTCAGGACTAGACCAAGGGCTCCCCTGTGGACCCAGGGACCCAAATCCATGGTAGGGCATACAGCAGGCCCTCAACTTCTCCTGTTTTCCCTCTGGGGGTGTTGTGCTCACAGCTGAGCTGGGCAGATGAAAGCATTCAGGACCAATGCCAGGGAGAGCCTCTCCCTGCTCCCCAGGAAGGGGCTGGCTGAGTCAAAGTGGCCTGACCCCTATCTGTTCAGACATGGCCCCGTCTGGCTCCTGATCCTGCTGGACCATGCAGCAGCACCCCCCACCCCAGCTCCCTGCCTCACTCCAGGGTAGGCCACCCCCATACCACAGTAGCCAGTGAGATTCCATGTGACGTGGCTCTCCTCACTCCCACTGGCTGGCTGTGCCTGCCGCCCACACTGCAGCTCCCGCCCGTCAGCCCCTCTCAGCCCTGCCCTTGCTGGCCCCTGCGCTCAGCAGGCGGCTCTCGTGCAAGCCTCTCCCCAAGGCACCAAGCCCGCCTCGCTGGCTGCGGGTGTCGGGGCCAGGGACACTCACGACTGGTGGACGCTGCAGTTGTAAAACACAAAGTCAACGGACGCGAACTTCTTGCCCGTCTCCTTGGACTTCAAGTAGAGTTTCACCACCCGCTGGTCTCCTGCAGAAGCAGCGTGCCGAGTCACCAGGAATTCAAGCAGGACAAGCCCCAGCAGGGAAAGACCTTGACAAAGGTTCTGAGTCCCCAACACCAAGAGCACGCCTGCCCCTTGCATACCCCAGGCCCTTCCTCTAATCTACGCTGCCCCCTCATAGCCCTCTGTCACCACCAGTCACTGTGGGACACCTGGCCCCAGCCCGCAGCCACTCTCACCCTGGCCCCGCGTGATGGGCGCCACATCCCGCGCAGAGGGCGAGTGGCAGTGGATGCGGCCATCCTCCAGGACACTCTCGGACTCCGTGAAGTCCTCGAAGGAGCAGTTGACACCAGCTGAGAGGTCGGGCACGTTCCAGGCCTGCAGCACAAGCTGGGGTCCCGAGGCAGGAGGGATGGGTGAACTGGGTCCCCTGGCCTCCGCCCACCGCCCCCGCCACGCCCAGCCTCTGCACTCACCGGCACCTGGGACATGGTGACCGAGACGTTGCGAGGCTGCACGGTCAGCTGCACGCACTGCAGCAGGTCAGAGGCAAAGCGCTGGGGCTCGTCGGCCCGCTCACAGGCGTCCTGCCTCGAGCAGCTGCAGACAGAGCGTGCGGGCTGGGTGCTGCCGGAGGCCGGAGGCGCATCCCTCGCCCGCCAGCCCACTGAGGAGGGGCAGCTCTCCAGACCCCCTGCCCCTGCCAGCAGGCTGATGCCTACACTGGGGGAAGCCCCCCGGCTTCACGGCACCTTCCTTTATTTGAGGAGCTGGGCTGGACACAGGAAGTGCCAAAGCCAGGGCACCCTGCCCAGGTGAGACCCAGCAGGGCTGGGAGGGGAGCAGTGACCACTTGAGCATACAGCGAGGCCACCTGGGGCCACCCCCACATGCCATCCAGACTCACATGCTATGCAGGACACACCAGCCGCAGTGGGGATCCCTCGAGCCCAAGCACAGCTCACATGATGTATACTGGACGCAGCTCTCCACAGGCACCCGCGTCACCTGGCAGGAGTGGGGGCGTGCAGGTGAGCCACCCACAGCTCCAGCCGGAGTTACCAGCCACCTGACTGGGCTCCAGGCTTCCCCAGGAGTCACGGGCTCATCAGCCCCACTCCGGAGCACCGAGGCAGACTTTTCCCCAAGCACCCTGACCATGTCTGCCCGGCCCCGAGGTGCCCAACAGGTAGAAGAACCCTACAGGTGGGAGGGGCAGAAGAGAAGCAAGACCAAGCCAAGGGCGACGAGGCCTGGTCTCACCCAACACACACACTGCCTGCTCCACCTGCCCACCCTCATGGCAGACTTGGGGTCACCAGGTCAAGCAGGATGGCAGAGGAGGGCTCCAAGCAGGGCAGGGCCTTGGCAGGGTGGGCCAGGTCAGTCACAGGCCTGTCTCCCTCTGGAGGCTGCTGCCCACAGTCCCTGCCAGAGCCATGAGGCCACGGCTGAGGACCCAGGCTGGGAGCACACCGCCCACCCTTCAGGACACCCACACCCTGAGCGTGCTGCAACCAGCCCTTGTTCCTGGGAACATGAAGTCATTCAGAGAGGAGGTGGGCATTGCAAACCTAGTGCAGAAGAATCTGGAGGCAGTGTGGGCCACACTGGGTCCCAGGCAGGCCTGCCACCCGCTCCAGGGGCAATAGTACCCACCTGCTTTTCCGTCATGGCGTAGAGGTACTGGCGGTCAGGGCTGAGGACCAGGTCACGCAGGATAGGGCTGCCCTCTTGGGCCACCACACTCTCATAGGCCAGGGCTGGTCGACCGCCGGGGTTAGTCAAGTCCACCAGGATCTATGGCAGCAAAGGCCTAATTGGGGCTGTGCTGATGCCATCCTGCACCAGCCCCATACCCCACCTCCTCCTCTAAGCCCCCTTAAACCCTGCCAGAATAAGCCAGGGAGGCCCCCACCTCCCTAAAGAGCTGCATAGCACCAACTGTGGCCCAGACAGGCAGGTCCTCTGCCCACCCTCATGGCCCAGCCTCTGTCAGTCAACAGAAGGCAAAAGCCATGGATGAGGGGTGGGGATGGAGAGAACCACAGCCCACCACCCACCGGCACTGCCATGCCCAGGACAAAGGCAGCCGGTGCCCCAGCTTCCCGGTGGGCATCCCAGAAGTGGGGGATGTTTGTGCAGTGGGGGGAGGGCCTGTAGGTAACATGGGATGTCCGGGGAGAAGCGAGGCCAGGAGCCTCGTGAGAAGAAGGGGCATCCTAGAGGTGGGCACGCCCCACCCGGCGAGAAGGTGGCAGAGGAGGGCGAGCATCTCATCGGTATGGAAATATATTCCAGATCCCAAACAAACCGGGCGTTAATTAGCCAGCTCTTCTCCTCCACAGCTTGCGATGCTGCAAGTATTTTTAGTTGCTTTTACCAAACAAATGTATTTAATTAACAGAGAGACCCAGGGGGCTTTCCAGAGATGGGACTCGTGGGGCGGCGTCCACCCTGCTCAGTCAGTCCTGGGCAGGTTCCCAGGGCACGGGGCAGCCAGCCCCGCTCTTGGGGCCTTCTTCTCGCAAGCCAGAAGCCAGGGGCCAGCCCACCTCTCTAACTCCATCTTGGGGCCAGGGGCCTGGGCCAGAACTCAGCCCAGTAACCTTCTGCGACACCCCCGCAATGATGGGATGGGGTGGACTATGGTGGCTGCCCGGCCAGGCTCGGGCCGCTCCAACAGGGGCTGGGTAAGGGCCGCCAGCCAGGGTGGGGCGCTGTGTCTCTGGGCCAGAAGCAGCGGCTGCCGGAGAGGGGGAGGGCCGCATTCCTGAGAGCCCACGGCCACCCCCCACATCCGCTCAGCTGCCTCCCCGCCAGGCAGGCAGGCTTAAGTCAAACCAGACCCGGAAGAGCTGAGTCCAGAGCTAAGCAGGGGTAGGCAGCCAGGGACTGGGCTCAGCGGGCACTGCAGGGGCTCTGACCCCAGCCTGTGGAGGAGGAGGTGCTGGATGGGAGGCCACAGCAGTCCAGCCGCAGCACCCCTGTGGGTGCAGCCTGATGGGATCCCAGTCTGCGCCCAGCAGACTCCACAAACCTGCCCTGCTCTCTGGCAGCCCGCGGGCAGACGCTGCTCACAGGGGGCCCCGGGTAAGCCAGTCAAGAACAGGCAGGACGCGGGTCACTCTGAAGGGTCAGGGAGGCCAGGAGGCCAGTGTCTGAACCCACACTGCCTGGGCCCAAGTCCAGTTCCGACACGCCCAGCTGTGCAGTTGGAGTGAGGTGCTAAGCCTCTCTGCCTTGGTCTTCCTACATGCAACAGGGATGATAGATTCCTCAGAAAAGCTTCCCACGCCAGAGCTGTGCTGAAGCCTAGATAAGAACCAAGCCAGTGTTCGGAGCAGAGGGGACGGCAGTCACCAAACCCCACAGCCAGCCACTCCCCCAGCTGGGCAGCCCGGACAGCAGCCAAGATATGGGGAGGGAAGGCTAGGAGGCAAGGCCTGGTGTGCCAGTGAGGAGCCAGAGCTCAGATCCAGTCTCAGCCCAAATGACCCGAACACGGGCTCTGGCGTTCTCCCCAAGCCCCGGCCTCAGCTCTTCCTCCGTCCCCACACACGCCCCCTGCAGTCACTGGTACCACGTCTGTGGCTCTCCCCAGGGCCCCAAGTCTGGTGGCTCTCACCACTGGAAGCTGGGGTGCCAGGCCCTGCTCCCAGGCCTGGCATTCAGGGGTGCTCTCAGAGAACAGGTCTCCTCCCCGGGATGCTGGGGCGGGATGGGGGCAGGGGCGCGGAGGAGAGGCAGCCAGGCACGGGCTCTGGAATGCCTGGACCCTAGCCGGCAACACGCCGACTCTGACAGGTGGCCCCAACAGCTGCGGCAGGTGGCAGTGGGGAGCACACGCATCCAGCTGTCCATCAGCGTGCACCCATCTGTCCACCCACCTGCCCAGCACTAGGATGCCCCTCCAAACAGTCGGGCAGGCCCCAGGGAGATGGGTGCCTCGGGAGGGCACGGGTCAAGCAAGGGCACTGGGGTGAGGCCCAGCCTGAGGCCAGCGCTCACTGTGCCCCTGCACACGCACATGTGACAAAGCGGAAGGAGGGGAGAAGGGTGCAGGCAGGAAAACGATCTTCGGGATGTGTCTGTTGCGGCCCAGCCCATGTCAGGTTGCAGGGCTCATGCAGCACAGGCAAGTAAACTGAGACTCGCAGGGCTGCCAGAGGAAACCAGGAACCCGAACTGACGGCTGCACCTGGACAGTCTGTCCAAAAAGTGGAAGGAGGGATGCAGCACACTGCTAGGAGGGAATTCCAGGGAGAAGGGGCATGCAGGGCAGGCAGGGGCCAGACAGCTGGCAAGATAGCAGGACACACGCCGCTGGCAGCACACTTGCCAACACCACACCCCTGCCCACAGCTGTCCACTCCAGGGCCACCCACCTGGGAAGGCCCACCCTGGGGCAGCTGAGCCACAGAGCACACAGGAGACTTCCAGCATCCCCTACCATCCTCCCAGCTGTCACTGCCATGCTCTGCAAACGATTTCCCAAAGACTGCCAGGGCATTGCATGTCTGGCCCCAACTGCCCTCTTCCCCACCTCCCACCACAGAAAACCTCGGCGTCCAAAGTCAGCTCTGCCCCGTCACTGCCCTTCCCCACGTCTGCTGAAGAAGGACCCCCCCACCCCCACCCTGCCTAGATGGCTTGAGTGGAGCTGCCCAGCCTCCCTGGGCACACGTGCCAGGCAGCAGCGGGCCCAGACACCCACCTACCCAGGCTCTGACCCAAGGGACAGGGTCACTCCCATCAGCCTTCTGACCCTGACTACTTCTCCATCTGGGGTCTTACAGTCCCCCTACATACTGGGGAGTCTTCCTTCAGATTCTGGGCCACGGCACAAGGGCTGTCAGCAGCCCCACAGAGGGGCAGGGCCCAGCAGTCTCCCAATGCCAAGCAAAGTGCTGACCACTGGCTGGTCAGACACCACCACGTGGAACAAGGCCTGACTCACCCCATAGAGGTGCCAGGAAGCAGGCTGACCCCCTCACCCCTGACCAACAGGTAACAGGAAGTAGGACACACCCAGCAGGGGCCTGCCAAGGGAGCCCTGCCCAGGACACCGGGAGGCGGCCCCTGGCCCTGGAGACCTGAGCTCCTCGCTGGCCCAGCAGGCTACCCCACACCCCACACCACGAGGCCCTGGCCAACTGCTGAGGGCAGGCAGCTGATGGCCCGGCCAGGTCAGCTGTCCGTCCAGCCCAAAGCCAACAAAGGACCCATTCTCCGGGTGAGGGCAGGCGGGGGCGCCAGGGAGGATGTCTGGGCCGCCCAGGCTGCTCGCCAAGGCCGGCACGCGCCCTAGCTGCCCGGAGGCAGGGGGCTGCCCGGTTTGGCCTCGACTGGCCTCCCTGCCCACCCCAACATGGCAGCCCGCGTGTCCCGTCTGCAACATGGGTTTCTGCAACATGGGCTGGTTTCCGCTCTCCAGTGAGGGCGGGGTTGGCAAGGAGCAGAGGACCTCAGGGAGAGGGACAGGGACTGGGACAGGGCAGGGGGCAGCCGCCAGGGAGCTGGCCACAGTGCTGGGACCTCCTGGGCAGCCCACTACCCGCAGAGATAGCTGCCAACCCCGCTGCCAGCCCCCAGCAGACAGGCTGGGCCTGAAGGGGCTGTGTGAGGAGTGGGAGGCCCAGGGTGGGGAGTCCCTCCTCCCCCATCCTCCTGGTCAGAGGGGCCTCGATCTCGGAGCCCTGCACACCCCCAACAGCCACCACAGGATCCCCCCTCCTCAGGCTGGGGACAGGTTCAGGCCCTTTCCTGGGTCCATCCTCAGAAAGGCCAGAAGGAATTTGATACTGGAAAAGCAATTAACAATTTCCTCCTGGCAGTAATCGGGTAATTAAAACATGATTTGCAGGGGCCGGTAGCTGTAATTGGGCCAGACACACCTGGCAGGAGGGGGGTACAGGGTCCCAGGAATCTTGTCTTTCTCACCGCCAACCCTCAACACAGCCAGCGGAGAGCGGGCTGCCAACACAGGGTCCTCTCTGACCCCCCAGACCTCAGGAAAGCAGGCCCCGAGTGCAGAGCCTGGGGCAGGACCCTCGTGCCTGGGGGTGACTCTCGCCGGCCAGTGGGGAGAAGGGCCGTGCACCCGCTCTCGCACAGCGCGGGCTCTGGGCTGAGGGGCTGTGCCCTTCCCAGGACACAGACATCACATCTACCTGCAAGACGACAGGCAATGCCCCCGACGTTCCGGGGACCACTGCCCCTCCGCCCAAGAGGCACCCCGGGCACAGCAGCTAAGACCGCGAGCAAGCAGGCAGCCGGGTGCCTGCCACTTCCTGCCAATGACCACAGGCAAACGGAGCGCGGCCAGGGCCCAGCTGATCCCCAATCCTGCCCGGGCTGCCACACTTCCCCCTCCTGGTTCTGGAAAGAGCAAGACAGACTGTCGTAGAGACTCAGGACAAAAAGGTAAGGGAGAGCACAGCTCCACTCCAGGCACAAACCCCCCAGAAACACAGCCCGCTGCAGGGCCCAGGCACCAGCACGCTCACAGGCCGTGGGGACACTGCCGCGTCCGCCCAAGGAAGGGACGCTGAACACGTGCCTCCGGGATGCCGGATGCAGGACCGAGCACGGTGGCCACAGCAGCCAGTGAGGCTCACAAACCACACCGAGCAAAGGAAGACAAAAGAAGACCTGCTGTGACTCGGCCACAAACGTCCAGAGAGCCACGAAACAGCCCACGGAGGGGGGCCTGGCCAGCAGGAGGAGGGCGCAAGAGGACAGGGTAGCCAGTGTGCTCGTGTGCCACTCCCCGGGGGCACGGGGGTCAGGGCAATGGGAAGAACCACTCAAAAGGATGCTTTCAGAGCTGGGAGGTGTCTGGGAGGTGTCCCTGTCCTGGTGGCCCAGGCCCAGAGCAGCCCAGGGGCCCAGCCACGCCGCCAGCCCAAGGGAGGGGAACCAGCCAGCCTGAGGGGCATCCCTGGTCTCTCTCGCTCACACAGAATGCATGGAAGGAACGGCAGACAACCTGCCTGCGGGCGCCCAGCACCCATGTCACCTCCCTGGGTGACATGCCAGACACCCAGGGAAGAAAACCAAGGCCCAGGAGGAGGTTACTACCAGGGCAGGCCTCTCTCCACCCTGGCCCTGGCCCAGACCCCAGCTGGACAGTGTCCCTCGGCCTCACCTGGAGGGCCCATGCCCCGTGCCGCAGCCCAGATTCCCGGGCCACATACCGTGGCCCACAGCAAGCCTGGGCTAGCCTATAACACTTTCTAAAAACGTGTTTTAGTTGCCAGTGCTTCACAACCAAGGGACTTCACACAAAATATGGGTTTCCAGATTCTCTTGAAAAACCGGATGTTTGGGCAGACGGGCCCCGTTCCCGCCTGACATGGCCATCAGAGCGGGCAGGGCCCGCTCTCCTCAGCCCAGCCCCAGGGCCCTGCGCAAGGACAGGGTGGTTCGGGGCTGGCCCAGCGGGCAGGGAGTGACCTCAACTTTGCTTTGCAGAAAGGGAGAGTCAGTCAGAGACAGCCCCCGGGCTGAGGAGGGGGAGGGTGGCACAGGCTGGCAGAAGTCCAGGGCCTGTTTTCTCCCCGCCTACCTGGGCACCTGGGCTGACTCCTGGGCCTACCTGGGCACCTGGGCTGACTCCTGAGGGCTCGCGGCCTCAAACCAGGGCCACCCTGGGAACGCCCGTCAGAACCCAGGGATCCCGGGGGCCTTAGCATGGGGTGGGGGTGGGGCGCGCACACACAGGGCTTGGGGATGCTGGCCCAGGAGGACAGCCTGCCCGGGAAAGGGGGGAAGCAGGTGGTGTGCAAGGCCTCTGGGGAAGGGTGGGGGGGGGCGAGGGGGCACCCCCAGGCACTCTGAGCAGCTGAAGTTGGCAGGTCTTAAATTAATGGGCTATACTTTTATACGCTGGGTGGGGCCTGGCCCAGGGCCATTCATGTCCCTGAGCTCCCCAGTCACTTTTAAAAGCCAAAAAATAAATAAATAAATAAATAAATAAAAGCCAGGAAGCCTAGGGAGGGGGAGGGGGATTTGCCAGCACAGCAGGCCGGCTTCTGGGTCCAGCATGACAGGACAGAGGGCAGAAGGAGTCTGTTCCCCCCGACCCCGTCCCTAGAAACGCAGGGTGGGGCCAGGCCCGGGCCAACCTCAAGGGCAAGAACGGCCAGGAGTCCAACCCCGAGCACCCAGCCCTCCCTAAGGCCCGAGGAGAGGCAAGGATGGGTCACAGCACTGGCCCTACCAGACGTACCCCATGCCTCAGTTTCCCCATCTCATCTGGACACGAGGACTTTGTGTGCTCGCTGCACGCCCTGGATGGGCGCGAGAGCAGGTTAGGCTCAGGCGAGCAGGCACCTCCTCCCGTCCTTCCTGACACCACTGCTCAGGGAAACTGAGGCTGGAGAGGCTGGTGATGTGGGCAGTGGAGACCACGCTGCAGCGCAGCCATTTGTATGAGTTTGAGGTGCAAGAAATCGACCACAGGGAGTGAACAATCATGCTCCTGCCTCTGGGACCCCTCTACTCAGGCAGGAGGATATGGATGGGGTTGCTGGTGGCAGGTCTTAGAGGGCAAAGTGGGGCGACATCTTGAAAGGAGAGCCTCAAAATCAACATGATCTCCCCAGCTGGCAGATCCACTATGAGGCCAGCAGCTCCCAAGCACGGCTCACCCCATACACCCCAGAAAGGGCACTCTCCACCCTACACCAGGCCCAGCGTATCTGGTGGAAGGAGCTGGCACAGGAGGGGGCTCTGGCAGGCAGGGGTGGGATGCGTGGAGGGGGAGCAGGGTCTCCCTTCAGCTCTGAATTCCCCAGGCTCAATTCCAACATCCACTCACTGGGCCTCAGTTTCTCCTCTCTGGGAGGGGGAAAGGGAGGCAGAAAACCAGGAGCACCTAGACTCACGAAGCTCCTGCCCACCAGGTAGTGACCTGGAGCAGAGGAGTGAGAGTGTGGGGTGAGGCCCCAGCCGGAGGGGCACAGCACAGAGGCAGGGCTGGACTAACCCGTTCTCCCAGCCTCTCACTGTGGCCTGTGGGCGCAGACAGCACCTCAGCCTCAGCCGGCTGCCAGCGGCCCACCAGCCATCAGAAGGGACACTCCCAGCCCTAGGAGCCCAACCTCCGAGGGGTGACAAGCTCTGGGCGCTTCACACAGGCCCTCCCTCCCAGGCATAACCCACCAACACGCTCCCACGGGGCGCCCCGTGGGCCCTCTCCCCCGCCCCATGTGCTCTCCCTGGTGTGGGAGGTGGGAGAGCATGCCGGGTGGGGTTCCACACCAGGACCACAAGCAGTACCCCCACACCCTGGCCAGGGAGGGGCAGGCAGCACTGGAGGACAGGGCTCGGAGCACACAGGGCACATGGGGGACATGGGGGTGCGTCCTGAGCTGGCCTGCCTCTTGCCCCCAGCAGTGAGCAGGCTGGTTGGGCCAGCAGGAATCAGCCGCACAACCACTGTGGCAGAGGCCCCTGGCCTCCCACCACCCGCAGCCAGGGCCCTGGCCTCCTGTCCAGCCCAGCACAGAGCCTGCACCTCCAGACTTATCTCACAGAAGGGAAACTGAGGCTCGGAGGGATGGGGGTGAGAGCCTTTCCAGGGGTCACAAAGCCAGCAAGCAGTGGGGCACAATTTCCAGGGTACCCATTGTGGCAGAAAGGGAGACCACCCCCCCACCAACCACACATCCCAACCCAAAGGCTGAGGGCAGGCCAGGCCCCTGCTGGCCGTAGGCCCAGCCCCCACCCACGGGCGCTCGAGGGCGGAGAGCTGTGTCAGCACCAGGCCTCGGGACAGCTGTTATTTCATCCACAGCAGGCCCGCCCTGGTCTGGTCCCCACCCGACCACCAAGTGGGGCCTTCCCTCTGCCCGCCCCTCCAGGGAGCCCTCCGTGCCCAGCTCCATACAAGCGCCACTCAGCCTAACGCTTGCCAGCGAGAGACACTGTCTCTCCCACGTCCTGCAGTGGCCCTGCCTCACCCTCAAGGGCCCGAAAGCGGGTCTTCCCCACTGCAGTCACTGCGCTCAGCTCACACCCGCCAGGGGCAGGTTGGGTGCAGGGCACTGCCCTTCCCTGCCCTTGGCCTTCGGCTATGGCAGAGTGCTGCCTCAGCAGACACTGGATCCCCAGAAGAGGAGGGGGCTGTGCGGGCGTGCCCTGCCCCCCCCCACCACACAGCTTTCCCAGGAGGTCACCGAGCCTCTCTGGGCCTCCAGCGGATGGCAGGGTGGCCAGGCCCCTCACAGCCCCTGACCTACCCCCAGACCCCCAACCAGGGCTTTTCCAGGGGGCTGACATGGAAGCAGCCCCACAGGAGGGGCCGGGAGAAGGAGGCACACAGGGACTCAAACCAGGACCCTCAGGGGTATCCCAGCCAGCCCGAGCCCTTTGTGATCACAGGACCCAGCGCTGAAATAGCACCCCCACCTCCTGATGTCACAGAGCAAGGCCCTCTCGTGCCCCCAGGCTCCGTCCGCCCCAACACCCCCCAGCAGGCCTGACCTTTCGAATGCGACCGCTGCGCGTGCCAGCAAACACCACGGTGCGGCCCCGGTAGTCGTAGGCGGCCACGGCGGTCAGGCCGTCATCCTTGTCCACAAACAGCGGCGTGCCCTCGATGGTGACCGTGCCCCCCAGTGGCTGGTTGAAGTCTTGCCCGCAGAAGTCGTCGTCAATCTGCAGGGGCTGTGGGGAGGGAGAGGGTCAGGCCCTGGATGTGCCCAGCTTGCCCCGAGGGCCCGCTCCTAGGGAGGGAAGGGACACACCCAGGGCGAGCCATAGTCCCGGGCCCGGGCAGTACAGATCTGGGCCCTGGACCCACACGACAGACAGATCGAGGCCTAGGCCCACCCCACACACACCTGCTGCACATGGCCTGCAGGAGGTGGTCCCAGGAGGTCAAGCCTTTGGTTGGTTGGGAGTGACCAACCCCGGGGCCCAGGCCCTCTGCACCTGTGATGGCCACACAGAGGACAGCCCGGGGCTGGGGACAAACGCCTGGGGACTGTGGGCCACAGAGAGGGTGTACTGAAGACAAGAGGCAAGGGTCACATCTAGAAGACAAAGGAAGGGGCGCAGCGAGAGGAGGTGACTGAAGGCACAGGAAACGATCGATGGAGTGAGGTTCCGGAGAAGGGGTGGGGGTGGGGCAGACCCTGCGAGGCCAGGGCCAGGGGCAAGGGCAGCTGGCTGTCCCCGCAGCAGGCTGGGGCATGAGGTGTGCCGGGGGCAGGTGGTGAGTACGGGAGCAGGGAGGCTGGGGGGACCGGGTGGTCCTGGCTGGGGGGCCTAGAGGTAGAGTGCAATGGGGGCATGTGAAGACAGAAGCACAAAGCCGAGGCCAGGGGACAGGCCCAGCTGAGGGCACAGGGGTGCAGAGCACACAGTGTGACCTGGGCAGGTCGTGGCTCCATCTGTACGGTAGAGAGAAAACGCTTCCTCGAAAGGCCAGGCGGTGTGGAGGAGGGATGCCCAGCCTAGCGGGCTGGGACCTCGGTGGGGGGGATGTCCCGTCACCACGGGCGCCCTCCACAAATAAGTACCAAAGAAGGGCTGAAGGGGTCCTCACCAGCCCATTTGGTCCTGAAAACAGACCAGTGTCACCTAGTAGAGAGCTGGGGAAACTGAGGTCAGAGTGGGCCAGGCATCCCCCAGGACACCCCAAGGAACAGGAGCAGGGGGCCATGGCTGGTCCCAAACTGGGTGACATCCTGGCTCTACCACCCACTGCCCTGAGAAAGTCCCTGAGCCTGGGTCTTCCTCAGAAAAGCAATGGTTTCTGCCACCTGGGGTTATGCATGAGATGCTCCCCCAAAAGCAGCTAGTCCAAGGTCGGCCTCGAGGCCTCGAAGCAACTGTGGCTGTTACCTAGAGTTTTAGCACCACTGAGCGGGCAGCCACGTGGGCCACCCCATGTCATCAGCTCCCCTGCGGACGAGGGCAGAGGCCCGGGGGCAGGCATGTGGCCACGAGACGAGGGCCAGGGCGAGCAGAGCCTCTGGAGAGAGGAATGTGGCATGTGGCCCACCGACCCTGGCTAGTTCCCAGCTGTCTCTACTGGCCGTGTGGCCACTGGTAAGCCACCTCCCCTTGCGCCTCAGCGACCTTGCCTGTAAAATGGAGACAAGACAGGGCAGGAAGCACCTGGCCAGTACCAGACATGTGGTCAGCACGTCCACTGGGGCCTGCACACTGTGGACATGGGCCCGTCACCCTGACTGCAAGAGGAACAGGACAGCGCAGGGACAGAGCAGGCCTCGAGCAGGGTGCCTTGCACCCAAGGGCAAGCCAGCTCTCAGCTCACCCAGCACATGGGCGTGCGGCCTGGGTGGCCATTTAGGAGAACAGGGATGGATGTGCCGGGCAGGGCCAGGCATGGCTGAGGCCGTGACGGGCACGCGGTGGCAGCGGGACAGCCCCGGGTGGCCCACTTACCGAGTTGATGCAGCCCAGCTCCTTGTTGAGCAGCCAGGGCAGCGAGAGCTTGCCCTCGCCGCGGTAGCAGGACTGGATGCGCTCCTTGATCTTCTCCTTGATGGCCCTGAGGGTGAAGAGGCACAGCACGGACTCCTTGGGCGGCTTCACGCGGTTCTTCTGGCCCTGGGCGAACACAGTGAACAGCACGTCCTCGTCCTCGGCCAGGCCCAGCTGGTGGGCCAGGGCGCGGCCAGGGCGGCTCAGGTAGGCGTCCTGCACCAGGCGGTACTCCACCCCCGCCTGCTCGCAGCCGATGGGGAACTCCACGTACGAGTAGAACTTGGGGTCATCCACGCAGAGCCGCACGATCTTGGAGGTGAAGAAGTGCTCGCCGGCGGCGTCGGGCGAGGTCAGCTGCGTGTCCAGCTGCAGGGTGAGGTAGTACACGAACTGCTCGCTGCGGAAGCTGTACACGTAGTAGATGTCGAAGGCCGGGAACTTGGAGAGCGTGTCCGACGGAATCTTGAGCTGGGAGGACACGAACTCGTCCTGGTACACGAAGCCAAACATGTCAGCGTCCTCCTCGTTGGCCATGAGCCGGCGGCTGGACAGCGTGGGGAAGTACTCGGACTTGCCGTCGATGGGCGTGCCCACGAAGAGCTTGGCCTGGCCCTGGCCGGGGGGCCCGGCAATCAGCACGCCTGCCATGCTGCCGGCCTCGCGCACGCTTGACAGGTAGTGCTCCTTGCGGTGGTGGGGCTCGCCCAGCTTGAAGAGGTCGTCGAGCCGGAGGAACTGGCAGATGCCTTGGGAGGCGCTGCCGCAGGCCAGCAGGCGGTTGGCGGCGTAGTCCAGGAGCAGCAGCTTGTTGACGTTGTCGGTGCTGCCCAGGCCGTGCGGGCAGGACTGCACGCTGGGGGGCGGGTAGCACTTCTCGTTGTCCTCCACCGGGCCCGTCACGTGGGCCCGCAGCAGCGTCAGGTTCCCCGACAGCTTGTAGATGCGGTTCACCGCGCCCACGTAGACCTCCCCTGTCTGCTCGTGGACCACCAGGTGGGTGAGGCCCCAGTCACTGGCCGCGAAGGTGCGGAAGGTGGGCTGCAGACCCCCACCTGTCCTGGGCGTGCCCGCGGCCGCCCGCGCACCCCCCAACAGCAGCAGCAGCAACATTGGGAGCGCCTGAGGGCTCAGACGTGGCAGCGGCATGGTGGGCCAGGGCCTTAGGCTGAAGTGTGCAGGTCCTACAGAGGCGAGCATCACGGGGCGGGGAGCCTCAACCCTGTGAGGAGAATGGGCAGGAGAGGGTGCATGAGCCTCGCACGGCCCTCACCCACAGAGGCCACAGACATGCGCGCACACGCCACCGCCCGAGTTCTCTGTGAAGGCCCGTCCGCCCCAGGCTCCACCTCCAGGGAGCAACCTGACTCCTGAGGACAAGCCAGGGGTCCGACAGGGCAGCACCTCCCAGCCTATTGCCCAAGACCAAGCCGTGGGCCCTCGATGCCCTGTATCAACGCCCAGGCCACTCATCACAGCAGAGAAGACACAAACCCAGGAGGAGGAGGCAGGCGGCAAGGGTCTGGGCTCTAGGCTGGGAACCCAGGCGACACATGCGCTTGGAGACCATCACCTCCTGACTCGGAGCTGTCACCGACCCAGCTCCTCACGCCCCCGGCTCTGGGGAATGTGCTCCCTCGCAGGCACTACCCGCGCATGGCAGGGAACTCAGGCCCACCGCCACACACCAGCGTTTCTCAGCATGGGTGGGAGCAGCCTGGGCGACTCTGGGCCTGGGCCACTGACTAACGCTAGCCAAATCCCTTACCAAACCTGTAGCCCTGCCTCCAGGGAAAGATCCAGAAGCCAAGGTATGTGCACCTCTATCCCACTGTCCCCACTTCAGCCATCCATCCCCTCTCCCAGCTCTGACATCAGGCTCCTTGGTCAGCTGCCTGTCAACTGTCCTCTAAACCCAAAACCCAACTCCAAGGGAAGAGGAGAGCCTCCAAAGGGAGGGGAGTGTGGGGGCTCCTGAACCCCCTCAGCAGTAGACCTCTCTCTCCAGCTGCCAGCACCTCCATCCCTACCCAGGCCCCAGCCTGCCAGGTCCAGAGGCCCAGGTCCATCTGCCCCGTCCCAGCACACTCTGCAGCTGGCCCCAGGCTGCTCGCCCTCACTGCCAAGCCCATGGGCTTCACCCCCCAAACCTCAAACTGCTCACCCTGCTCCCACCTGGATCAGCACTGACCTCAACCCCCAGCCCCGCCCATGGCCACCTACAGCCCAATCCCTACACAGCAGCCCGGACCACTTTTCTCAACTGCCTGTGAGGTCACCAAACCCCAACCGCTGGCAGCTGGGCAGGAGGTGAAACCAGACTCTGCCTCTCTGTAGTCACAGGCCATGATGGGGGTCACGTTCCTTTCCCCTCCTCAGTCTCAGTCCCCACCCCCCAGACCAGTGTAAAACGGGGATGACATCGCTCATGGATAAAAGGGGGGCAGGCTGGGACACACCCAAAAGGTGCCATCAATAGGAATACCCTCCGGGTGCCAGCAGGGGGCCTGTCCTGACTGCCAGATGGGCTCTCTCCCCCTAACTGGAAACTGCTCCAGGCAGTGCGTGCATGTAGCCCAGTGGGCCCATTTTACAGGTGAGGACGCTGAGGCCCAACAGACAGGCCTTCTGCCAAGTCTAGGGCAGCACACTGCTAGATAAGACGGGACCCCCAGGTGACCCCTAGAGCAGGGGGCTCCTCTGCCTTCCCAGGGCCTTTTGACTCACTGTCCCCTCTCCTGGGGACACACCCCTGTTTGGGTCTCAGCTGAGAGTCGCCCTGACCTGCTAGCTGAAGGCAGCAAGGTGCCGTCTCATTCAGTCACGCCACTTAATTTGCAGCCCAGAACCTGTTAATGGTTTTGCTACTTGCGTCCCAGCCACTCTCCCCACTAGAATGGAAGCTCTGTGAGGGCAGGGTCTGGCTCTGTGGTTTGCTATTGTGCCCCCAAAGGCATGCCCAGGTCCCAGGAAGCCTCAATAAATACTTGTGAGTGGATGAATGGCAGAGCAGGACCCAGCGAATGCCCACACACACTGCTCAGGTGGAGAAACTGAGGCTCAGGGAAGTGAGGGGATTTAGCCGGGATCCCACAGCAAAGAGAACCAGGCTGCCCTGCCCTAGAGGACCCTCCCAGCAGGCTGTCAGCTGCTTTTCCCTTAGGATCTCTGCCCAGACATCACCCCCAGAACCGCATCCACCCGGGGCCTCCACAGGCAGCCAGGAAAGGAGTCCCCAGTCCCCAGCCGAACTTCCCTTCCCCCTTCCCCGCCAGCTCAGGAGCCCAAGGTGGCTGTGAGCGGGAGAACAGGCTCCGTGCAGTGGCAGCAGAGCCTGGGCTGAGAGCTGAGTGGATGTGAACTCCAAAGAAAACATGAATCACTCACCGTTTATCAGTTCAAAGCAGGCCTGCAATTACCAGGGGCTGGGTTGGCCCCTCCTCCGGGATAATTATACACGTCTTAATGCAATTACGGGCCCTACTTTTTATATTAAACAGGAGAGACCCAGCTGAAGAAGCCACCATCCAAACTCCAGCCTGGCCCCGGGCCTGCTCCCCTCCCCCGAACAGAGGCTGCCAGGAAGGGACCGGCCAGAACACGGGGCTGCTGGCCAGGAAAGCAGGGATCCCGAACCCAGGGTGGGACCCTCACGCCCACCCTCTCACGAGCACCAGCAGACATCGAGGTCACTTCCCCTCTCTTAGCGATATGGGGCTCAGGGCTCTGATAGACCCAAGGTCACCCAGCCAGCCCTGGCAGGACAGGCATGGAATCCCACACGCCTACAGAAACCTGGACATTCAGCCGACCTGCTGGAGCGCAACTCCCACAGGCCCCTGGTGCACCCAGGAAAAACTGCATTCATGCCAAGCTGGCCTGGGTGCTGGGGAGGACGGTGAGGGCTGGGGGAAGGGAGCCCCAACAGAGGCTGTGCTCAGCGGCGGGGAGGGGAGCACTGTGGTCTGGGGAGGGTCCTTCAAGGGCCTTTCCACCTGTTCTGGAAGGACCAAGCACCCGGGGAGCTGGCAGGGGAGGGGGCTTTCTGGGTGCAAAGCAGCAAGAGGAGAGGTCTGGGGTGGAGCCTGCTGGACCACTCAGGGGGCACTCGGGGTTATGCGGGGGCCCAGTCACGTGCAGACTGGGGTTTAGCTGAGGAGACAGAGGCCAGACTGGAGGCAACAGGGTCATGGCCGGCGGGCTGCACTCCGGGGCAGGGTGGGCTCAGTTGTCCAGTGGGGTGTGGAGACAGCAGCATCCCCTGTCCCCCTCCTGGAGCTGGCCCCAGCACCGCTTCTCCTCACCCGGAGAAACAAAGGGCCTCAGCGCCCTCGTCAGAGGGAAATCCCAATCCCCATGCCCTTCCATTCAAGTCTTCTGGGGTGTGCACAGATTGGGGTACAGGGGACTAGAGAAGACACTACCTCCTGCTCAATGGAACCCCATAAATGACCAGGGGAGAGAGCAGTCTCTGTCACCCACCTCTCCCCAGCAGAGACTGGGTAAGGTGTTCCCGACACCCCGCTACCCCACAGCTGAGTCTCATCGGATCAGGAGCTGGTCACTAGGGTCCCGATTCTCACCTCAGAAAAAGTGCCCACCACCAGGGCCCCCGCCAGGTGTCTCCTCCTGGCCAGCTGCCCCAGGCACAGGAGGCGGATCAGAACACGCAGGCATGGCCAGGGGCCGCAGGAGCCGAGCAAAGAGCCCTCTGCTTTGTCCACACCACCGGGTCTGTCCCCCACGCCCAAGCACACACCTCAGCCCCCCACGGGCTGAGAGACCTGCCTGCTGTCCCCTCGGCCTGAGCGCTGTTCCTGGGCCTCCCATGTCACCTTCCCCAGCTGCCTGGCGGTCTGGCCCTGAGGCAGAACCACTGGTTCTGGCTGCCTCTGCCATGCACCGTGTGCTCCTCCAGGGCTGGGCAGACCCGGCTGCCTGGTGCAGGAGTTGGCCTCCCCTGCACACCCCAAGCCAGCAGGGAGCCAAGGGGACCCGGGGCTGCTCCCCAAGGGCCAGAAAGAGCAAAGGCTGAGCCCACCTGGGCAGACCCCGACCCAGATACCCAGAGCCGGCTCCCGGCACGGAAGGAGGTGGAGCAACAGAGGCGCAGCAACCCAGCAGGCTCCCGAGGCAGAGGCACAGTCCACAAACCCCCCAACACACACACACCCCTTTCTTTCAAGGGGCGTGGCCCCAGCACCCCGCAGACGAGCCAGGGGCCGCTCCCGGCGCTCGGCAGCCACCGGACCCCCTCCCCGGCCCTTCCCTGCCGACTGGGGCTGCGGCTGCGGCAGGCGCGTCCCGGGAGCCCCGCTCGCCCTTCCCGGAGGCTCCCGCGGCCGCCGCGCCGCGCCAGGCCCGGGACCCCCGGGCGGCCATCGGAAGCCCCGGAGGAGACGGACTGACCCCGGCGAGGCCCTGCGCGGGGGCGCCGGAGGCCCGGGAGCCGGGCGGCCTGGCGGCGGCCCCGCGCGCACCCTCCGGGGCCGGGGGGCGGCCCTGCAGGCCGGGGTGGCCCGGCCCGGCCCGGCGCCCCGGGCCGAGGGGCGGGTGCGGCGCCGTCCCGAGCGCGCGGCGGCAACTTCCCCGGCGCCCGGGGCCGGCCGGGGGCACAGCCCGCCCCGCGCCCCGCGCCCGGCCCGGCCCCGCGCCCGGCCCTGCCCCGCGGCCGCCGAGCCGCCCCGGGCCCGCCCGGCCCGGCCCGGCCCGGCCCCGCCGGCGGCCGGAGGTGCGCGCCCGCGGTCCGGCCCGGCCCCCGCGCGCCGCGGGCCCTCCCGGCGGGGCCGCCGCAAACTTTCTCCCCGGCGCCGAGGAGGGCAGCGCCGCCCGCCCCCCCGCCCGCCCGCCCGCCCGCCCGGGCCGCCGCGGAGCCCCCGCCGGGGGAGCCCGGGCCGGGGGCGGGAGCCGGCGGGGGACGGGGCAGCCCGGCCCGGCCCGCGGCCGCGCCCGGACACACGCGGGCGCCGGGCCGGAGCCGCAGGGACGCGCGGACACGCGCGCCGCAGTCCCCGCGCCCGCCCCCCGCGCCCCCCGCGCCCCCCGCGCCCCCCGAGCGCCCCGCGCGCCCCCCGCGCCCCGCGCGCCCCCCGCGCGCCCCCCGCCCCCGCCCCCCGCCGCCCCGCGGGGAAAGTTGCGCCCCTACTCACGGGCTGCCCCGGGGCGCGCCCCGCCGCCGGCCATCGCCGCGCCCCGCCGCCCGCGCCGCCGCCGCCCGCCCCGCCGCGGGGCCGCCGAAGCCGCGCAGGCCGCCCAGGCCGAGGCCGCCGCCGCGCCCGGCTCCGCCGCGAGGCCGCCGCGCCGCCCAGCATGAATGGGCGCCCAGCGCGGCTGCGGACCGGCCTCGCTCTCGCCGCCCGCGGAGCGCCGCGCCGCGCGCATGCGCCGCCCCGGGCCGGGGGCGGGGCCGGCGGGGGCGGGGCGCGCGGGGGCGGGGCCGGCGGCGGCCTCCAGAGGGCGCCCTGCCCCGCGCCGCGCGCCCGCCGGGGCCCACCGCCGCCTTCAAAGGGCGACGCGGCCGTCCTGCCGGGGCGCGACGGGGCGTCCCCGCCGGCCCCCCCCCCCCGCGGGCCGCCCGGAGCTCGCGACCCAGGCTCGGGCCCGGCCTCGGAGGCCCGGGCCGGGAGCACAGGCTCGGCTCCCTGGGCAGCGAGCTGAGGTCCGAGGTGGGAGGTGCCCGCCCCGGGGCGTGCGGGACCGGGGTCCGGGGGCCCGGGCGAGGCGGGGGTCAGGCGGGGCCCACGGGTACCCCCGCCAGCGAGCAGAAGGGAGTCCGCACGACTCCGCCCCGCCCCCAGGCTCTGACTGCCTCTGCTGGGGACACAGCCCGAGGAGGAAAATCGCGCCCTGGGCGCTGAGGTGCAGGTGTCGCGGGAGGCAAACCCCGGCACCCCCAGAACCCCGCCAGGCCGGACCAGGGAAGGGGACCAGGGGATACAGGGGCCAGCGAGGCCCACTGATCCCGGCTGGCCCCATGTCCCACCTGTGCAGGTGGGGGGGCCAAGAACAGTAACAGGGGGCTGTGCCCTCTCAGGAGGACTTGGACCTTCTGCGAGACGCCCTGAAGTGGGGAGCCTCCCTTCAGAAGGCCAAGAGGAGGCCAGGCAGGCGGCGGGAGCACTCAGTGAGCCAAAAGAAAGCCTGATTTGGGCAGGTGAACTGGGCGTGGCCTAGGGCCTCCCCCACCTGCATTCTGAAGGGGGTGGGGTGTCTCGGTGGGTGAAGCACACCTTCCTCCCAAGAGAAGAGGAAACCTGGGTCCAGGGTAAGGACCTTAGCCCCCACAAGGGGTCCCTCCACTCGCTCCCTCCTACCGCCCCTATCCGAGCTTCTAGTCAATCTTTGTTCCTTTTTCCTTGGCTTGGATCGGCCTCAGCATCCTTGCAGGTATTGGTGCTTCGCAGTGCTGGTCATGGGATCTTCTAGAAATGCCATGTGTCTGGAGGAGGCCCAGCCCAGGCCGCTAAGGGGCAGTTCATTCACTCTGCCTTGTACTGTCCCCGCATGTGGCACTGATCATCTCTTCCCCTGCTGATGGGCCTGTTTGGGCCCATGGGGGGTGTGATGGAACATTCTACAGACTCCCGGTGGCGCGTTAAACCCAGGGTGGAGTGTGGAGTGACCTCACTGGATAGGTGCATGTTTAAGCTTTGGTGGATACCTCAAAACAGTCTTCTCAAGTACTGGCCCCAGTCTGTACTCCCAGCAGATGCGTGGGAGGATCCTGACAGCCCGTCTTCACCCCACTTGCTACTGTCACTCTTCAGTTTTTGCTCACCTGGTGGCATGTTAGTTTTCCATTGTCTTTAATTTGCAACCCTACGCATGAGAGTGAACATCATTTTCAAAAGGCCCATTTGCATTTACTTAACAGGCACCATCTAGTGCCACAGGGCTCGACCACGTTTTGCGGATGGGCAACTGAGACAGGAGAGGGAAAGTGAAAGTAGCTTGCTCAAGTTCTCAGCTTGGGAGGCCAACCCTGCAGTCCAGTCTTTGGTCTCAATCAATCCCTTTTCCAGTGTGTGCGCAACCCCTACCCCCACCCCGGCAAACAAGACCTCAGAGCCTGCTTCCTCCTGGATGTCTGAGCCATGTGCACTGGGGTGTGGGTCCTGGCATGGCTGGTTCAAGTGCAGCAGGTGGACTCTGCCCTCTGAGCCTCACTTTCCTGATCTGTGAAGTGGATGGCACCCCTACATCCTGCAGTTGCCCAAGCAGGAACCCCTGTGTCCTTCTGGACACCCCCTCCCTCCCCACACCCCTTGCCTTCTTCAGTCCAGTGGCTCCTCTCCCGGAGGAGAAGTTATCCCAGATTCCACCACATCCCTCATCTTCATCTCCTGCTAATATCACTTTCTGTCTACTCCCCAACCAGCAGCAGCAAGATCTTTCAAGCTGGAAGTCTGGTGACGTAATGCTCACATGTCTTGCAGGATGGTCAGTTCGAGGTGGGGGACAGGCCTGAACATGATGCAAAAAACGACATGACTTTTGGGAGACAACAGTGCAGATTATCTTTAGGGTTGTGGGCAAGCAAAGGATTTCTTAATAACAATGGAATAAATATTAATATTGATACATTTTTAAATGACACATTACATTAAATGCAGGAAAAAACTGGGTCCACTTGATGACCTTAAAGTTGGTTATTTTTGTGAAGAATATCAAAGAGGAAATACAAAGACAAGCCAGAATTTAGAAAAAGATACTTGCAGTACACATGCATATTTGACGAAAGATCCGTGTCCAGAATATAGAAGGAACTACCAAGAATCAGTAAAGGAAAGAACAAGGGGAGAAGCCCCCGGTAGGCACTTTGTTGGAGAGAAAATGGCAAATAATGTTGCCACCATGAGCCCAGTGTGGTGGGTTCCCAAGTTCTGGGTTCCAGTCTGGCCTGCAGCACCCCCCCTTGCGTCTCACTTCCAGCTCTGAGCAAATGTGCGCAAGCGCGCGTGTGTATGCCCTCACTCGGTCCTGCTGCTGCCTTGGAGATCGAACACCCTGGGTGCAGATGGAGGGGCTGGGATTTGCCGCCCCTCCTGCAGGTTGTGATTCAGTGCTCCTCACCCCACATCACAGAGAGGGGAAATGAGTCAGCGGGCTGTTCGGCTCTTCCTCTCTGGGTTTCCTCTGTGGGTTTCACTTCTGCTGGTCTGATGCAATTCAATAGGACACAGAGTTTGCTGGATGATATGGAATAATACTAAGGAACTGTTCACATTGGGGTGCTCGGGGAGAGGCTCTGCAGTACCTTCAAAGCAGTGTTCTTGCCACCGGGTTAGCTCCAGGGGCCACTTCTGAATTTTGGTGACTCGGCACTTGGAGCAGAAGTAGTCTTAGGGTGCTTTCTCTCACCAGGGCAGGCCCCACTGCTGAGGGGTGAAGAGGAGGCTAACCAACCAGGGAAAGCTAGGGACACCTCAGCCCCAGTGGGGGATAGTTACTGGGCCCCAGCCACCTAGCTCAAAGCCAGGGTTGCCCTGACTCCTGCCTGTCCCTTGACTCTACTTTGGAACCACTTCTCACCTCCTCCATTCTGCTCTAAGGACATGGAGCCACTGCTTGGCCATCACTTCGCTTCTCACACAACTCTCCACACTGTGGCCCAGCGGGATCTAAGAGGAGGGAGGGTGGAAAGCATGGCCACGCAACTCATGCATGGCCATGAGTGAACAGGACACAAGAGCAAGGGGCGGGCCTCCAGTTTTAGTCTCCAGCTCAGTTCAACTCCACAGTACACATAGTACAACCATCCAAAAGGCCTGGTGAGCAGCTTGCATCCCACAGTCCCAAGAATCAGATCCTCAGGGAGCAGGGAAGCAGCCCAGGTTTTCTCATTGTGCTGAAAATCTTTGGGCTGAAGTGGGGAGACTGGACCTGCTTCCCCCTGCAAAAAAAAATAGGGCAGTGCCCTCTTTGCCCACCTAATTGGAGTCACAGGAGATCAGATGTGAGACCAAAAGTTGACATGTGACCCGGAGTCTCAGCACACAGTACCCCCCAAATGTGCAGGAGCTAATAAAAAATCTCTCACCAGAGCAGGCACCAGGGAACTCTCATCTTGTCTGAGATACATGGTTAGATGCCACTGAGGCGACATGGATGTTGGAATGATCTGACCAAGATTTTAAGGCAGGGATCATGAAAATACAGTCTCAGCAAAGAAGTTGATGTTTTAAGGAATCAAATGAATATTTTAGAATTAAAAAAATTACTATAAACAAAATAAAAAGCTCAACGGCTAGGTCCACAGAGGATAGAGGTGATACAGGAAAGAATCAGTGAACTTGAAGATAAAACAATAGAAATTACCCAGTCTGAAGACCAGAGAGATAGGAGTGGGGTGTGGGGATGGGGGTTCAGGAACTTGTGAGTGCTAAAAAAGATCTAATATTTTAATCATCCAAATCCCAGAAACGGAGGTGAAAAGAAGGTGGTTTAAGTAGTCAGAGAAAAAAAATAGTGGCTGAAAATTCCCTAAATTTGGCTGAAGACATAACCCTACAGATCCAAGAGGCTTAATGAATCCCAAATCATATAGACCCAAAAGGTCTGTGCAAAGACCCATTATCATCAAACTTCCAAAAATAAAACACACACACACACACACACACACACAAAAACAAACCCTTAAAAGCAGCAACAGAGCAGTAACACCTCACCTCGAAGAGAATCAAAGGAATATTTTAGAGGAATATTTAGAGGCTGTAAGAGGAGAGGACTGTGGATTGCTCATCAGGAGCCACAGAGGCCAGAGATCATGAAATGTCATTTTTAAGTGCTGAAAGAAAACAATGGTCAACCCTAAATTTTATAACTTGCAAAAATACCACTGGGGAGTGAGGGCAGTCAAGGCATTGTCACGCGAAGGAAAAGTGAGAGAATGAAAGAACAGCTAAAGTTCTCGAAACAGAAAGAAAGTGAAAAGAAGAAATCATGGGACATGGGAAGGAACACAGAACCATGGGCTTCTCTGAAGCTTTCTGAATCACAATGGAGGTTGAAGTGAAAATTATGCTATTGTCTGATGTCTCAGTGTAGATAGAGAATCTCAGATAATTACAGTATACATGGGAGAGGGCCTGTCACTCAAAGTGGTAAAAACCGGGCAAATCTCATGTCCAGACACACAGTGTAATCCTAGGCGCAACCACTACA